AGCTGATACGAAACATTATACATTTTATGGTGACCTCCATCTCTCATGAGCTTGGGATGTATGGTTGCAAGTGGAAGGATAGCTGGCCATAGAGGAGTATGTTTTGTATTCAAGTTCGTGCATTGTTTAGCTGATTTGTTATCTTGGCATGCAGGCGTTAGAAGCAGCCACTAGGTCACCATGGCAATCACACGAAAGGAGAAAAGCTTTGCAATTGCTTTACATTATTCTTTCCTTCACTGTAAGTCATGTACATTCATACCGAGTAAAAGTCCTTGTGCAAACTTATAGTGCTGATGTGCCAAACGCCTGCAAGGAACTTCGGGTGTTTGCTAATTCTCTTTTGTCTCCTGTTTTCTTACATTTGGTCCTTTTCAGTTGGTATCATGTATGGTGGGATTGTTTTTTCAATGCTTGGGCTAGTTGTTTGCTGCACATACGGGAAAGTAATTTTGTGCCAAACAAACCTTAAGAAGGCGTGAGGAGCTCTCGATCAATGGTTCCATATGCCTCTTGGAGCTCTACTTTGATCGGGCTTTGTTTCATCACTGAAACACCTTGCTGAGAAAAGATTTCAATTTTCTCCTCAATATTGGAAATGCCGATCGTAGCAAAGATCTTGCTGCGGCTCTTCAGAAACTAGGAGGAAAAGATTAGAACATTAGCTCGGAGCTTTCAGAGATTCAGGTAATGGGGACGTTTAGTTTTCACTATAACATGAAGTGCATTAGAATGTTGCGGAGATATCCGCTAGTTACAGAGCTATTTCAATTACGACTCTCCCAAGCTCTTTCTTCCTTTGTCCGTTTGTCTCAACGCGAATATTTTTTCTGTATAGCCAGGAATAGGCCTCATGGCCTTGCAGCAATTTACTGAAGTCAACACAGTCATGCTCTATGCCGTTGAAATTTTCCATACAGTCTAGCTACTTCTTGCAGGATTTAAGTTAGCAAACGCAGCTTCCTTGGTTCTACCCATGTTACAAGTAATTCTTGTGTATTGATTTTTTGCACGAAAGATCGTTTTCTGTATAACAGGTAACCGTGACACTCACCTTGGAAAAGGCTGGATATTGCTGGTATGAGATCTATACTAACAGCGTCTAAATCATGTATAGTTATCATCCGGAGGCACTTTTCTTGTGGGATTCTCATTCTTTCTACATGTAAGCTTAAAAAGATGCAATGACTTGCAAATGTTCGTGTAGCATTTTTTTTTCCTTGCGACAGAACTCATTCATTACCTTCTGGTAAGAAAAACCTTTTAAGTAAGCGTTCTAACTAAGTGACGCATCTTTCGATCCCAATGCAGAAGCTCCCAAAGCTAGCTATATGGTCTAGAGTTTGGTTTGAAAATTAAAAGAAGTCAATCCAATTTTATGTTGTATCGTTTTCTTTTGGTCCCCGAAAGTTGTCAACCAGAAGCCTTAAACTGGGCACCTTTCTAAATTGGTCTTCTATTCTGAAGATAGAAAATGGTGAAATTCCCTAAGACTTTTTAGGCGGTTGGAGCTATGGTTGAAAGCGTTATTGGACAAGAGAAACGTCGTCCAAAGCGCCCCAGGTATGATCCAGATGGGATGGAGTGGCTATACGAAGACGAGGAATTCGATGTGGATGATCCACAGGATGTTCAGAATGCGTGCTATGGTATTCGGACCTTTAGCGGAGAGAGATTGGAAGATATGTTGATGAATGCTAGGAGGTTGATTGCACGGCGATGCTTCGAGGAGAAGGTGTTCCGTCTGGTTGAGCCCGAGAGCGACAGCGACTTAAGTTGGATTGAGCCAGAGGCTGTTGCGATGCGGGACAGGTTCCAGGATCTCGTGGCCCGTGTGTTCTTCCAGGGGACTCTGGTGGGAGGAGGCGCTTTGATTCATCCCGATGGCTCGATTCTCACATCGATTTCCTGTCTTCCCAAGCCCCGTGGGGATCCAGACCACGTCTTTGAGGTGGAATTCAAGTTCCTCAAGCTCAAGTACTCAGCCAGAGCTATGGATATAGACGAGTTTTCCTTTACGGCAGTGCTAGTTCCCATTGAGGATCAGACCTCAACATTCCATGGCAAGAAGTGTTTCGACCGACATGTAGCGGTGTCCGACTGTGACCAGATCCTTTACGCCTTTCAGCTGGGTATGGATGTCCCCAAGAAACGTCCAACCTCTATGGATCTCAAACAGCTATGTGTCAAGCAAGGGATTACCATTCGAAGCAAAGCCAAGCCCAAGGTTTCAGAGCTCGTGGCGGCCTTGGAAGAATTCCGAGTGATCAAGATGGTTTGCTATGATGACATTGGGATGCATGGAGAGCTCGCACTGTCCATGGGGGCCGTGGGTGCCATGGCTATAGGGTGCCCGGTTCTAAGTACTTCGGGACGAATGGTTGGAGTTATTTCGGCTATCCACAACGTTCCAGGGCGAGCCAAAGATCCACCGCTGCTTACTTTCTTTGGCGGAAGGGAGCCTTGCGAGTTCCAGTGCGTCGCTGATTTGAAGAAAGCAGATCTTCCGAAGGAGCTGAGGGACAATGTTGTGGCTGCTAAAACCATTGTGGAGTTTGCTAACGATCTCAACACAAAGTACCCGAGCTTGGAGTGGCGGGAAAGGAATCCTCTCGAGAACTTCAGGAAGAGGAGGTTCAAGGAGGCACCCCTTGATGAAGCTTAAACTCATATACTTTTCTTTGTAAAGGTTTTTACTACTTTTAATAATAATTTAGCTTTAGGAAAGGAATCGAGCTTAGTTTTCCTTTTCCAACTCCGAAGCTAACAAGCAAATGTTGCAACGCTAACGCTTTGCCTTGTGATGCGATTGGTCTCTACTGTCAAAACAGATCCTTCTCTTGCACTGGGTTTCTACTGTTTGTGTTTGACGGTAGAAACCCAGCGCGAGAAACCAAAATCTGAGAAAGCACGGCTCAAAACTACAAGGGAGAAGGATAGATTGTATCCAGTGGCATTACTGCAAAACCAAATCGTCACGACCAGCGAGAGGTTTTGATTCACGAGAACCTATCACACCTGCAACCAAGCTCACACTGAGTGAGAAAACCAAAAGACCTTGGAGCGGCACTTTGTGGGAAAGCAAACGTCGCTTTATTCCAAGAAATGCTCACTATAAGAAAGAAAACGTAGGCCCAGCAGACACTTCCCAGCAAGGTGGTCTCGGGTGATTAAGAGGTGGAGCTCGGTTCTCTACAACATACACGCGGCCATCGTTTCTAACTAGAGCTTCGATTTTCACAAAATAAATAAGCGTTAAGTTAGGGTTGTTTCCGTGAATGCTCTAGAGTGCGAGATGTCAAGGCCCAGGGTAAGCTTTCCATTCTAGATTTTCTATTTTCTTAGCTCGTTTTCCCCTGTGTAGTACAAGAGTTATCCGAAGGTTGTGGAGCCCAAAGAGCGAATACTTGAGCACTGCAAGGGGAAATCTGCTGCTGCCGCAGTGGTTTCGAGGGCCACGGATAATGCACTGCAGAAGTTGGCTGAGGAAACCAAGGAGACTGCCGAGTCTGCCCAAGCAAGTGAGCGTGCTGAAGGGTTGAAGCAGACAGCGGAAGAGGTAAAGAAGCAAAGCGTGAGCCAGCCGCCATCGGTGTCTACTACAAGCAAGTGGAAGAAGTGGTTGGTCACGGATCCTGCCGAGATTGCCCCTCACTTCTACGACAAAGATTTGTTCCGAGCTAACTTCCCGCTGATTGATGTGGAGGAAATTCCAGAAGGCCACCCATTTCCTGTCCCAGACAAGTTCGAGGGTGCTGTGCTTGACGACGAGGCAACTCGGGTTGCGAGGAAGAAGTGGATCAGTAGGCTGTTCGATGCCACCAGCGCTTACAAGGCCCCGGAGAATGAGAAACAAGCGTTTCCTTTGCATTTTGCGTTTTTGGAGCCTCTCCAGAAGCTGACGAGGCCCTCCAGGCACGATTTGCAGAAGCATGAAGAATGCTGTGGAAAGAGGAAATGGCGGTACGAGGACATCCGTGATATTGGCAGGCCGAAGCCCAGAAAGACTGGATCCGAGGAGCACGAAGGCATGTACTTGGAAGTGCCAGAACCGCATCATCCTGGTGAAGATGACTCAGATGACGAGGAAGCTGTGGAAGTGAAAGGAGGTCTCAAAGACGTTCCAACCGGTTCTGCGGGCGGTGTCATCCACGTCTTCGATGATCCTCAGCTCGGCATCACTGCTCGTGGCAACCCGGACAAGGTGGCAGCGGTTCTAGAACGAAACTTCTTTGAAGACAAGCTCAAGTGGAATGGACGTTTTCGAGGAGGCTTCTACGCTGTGAAGCACTGCCTCGACAACCTGGGAAAAGGTCACGGAAGTGTGATTTATGTGCTTGTCATGGCCTCTGCAACATGGACGTATGGGATCCTTGTCCCTGAAGGCTGCGTAGAGATTCGCAATGGCACGATCGAAAGCGAGTCTATGGAACAGTTCCAGAAACACCAGGCTATGACAGGGCAGTCCTCGGCGAATTTGGAGGCGCTGCAAGTGAAGCTTAAGACCGGAACGGCATTTTACCGACGCTGCTATCGTGATAACCCGGCTGCAGTGTACAAAGATGGCCCCATGCTTGTTGGGAAATTCTACTTGTGCTCTACTTGGTTCCGGCTACCCAGGATGGTGGTCGGGGGAGGTCGCGATCCCGGCGGCCGCAGGCTGTTCGATGGTCTCCTCAGGCTTGTTATTGGAGACTCGGTCATGGATCTGACCAAGGAAGACTTTGAGCTGCGGATGCGTCTCAGGAAGGAGATGAAAATGCAGCGGCAGGATGCGTGGTTCTCATGAATCTCCCGCGTTTCTATGTCTTTTGGTGCTTCATTACTCTCATGCGTCTTAAGAACTGGTTGTCTGTCAAAGCAGGAAGGTTTTTCAATCCAGTCAATGCAATGTTAACATAGTCAATGAGAAGTCAATGAAAGTCTTGAGAATGCAACATAGTCAATGAAAGTCTTCAGATAAAATATCATGGAACTTGGCGTGTTGGTAATGAAAGAAAGAACCAAAAGGTTATTGCTGCTGTGTGATTAAAAGGAAAAAGAATCGCTGTACACGAACGAACATCAAGCTTCGTTTCTCTTGGTGCATCAAATCGTATCAAATCAAAGAATCTGCCAGTCTTCCTCGCTCGTGGAATCCATTCCCAGATTCAGCTTGTCCAGCCTCAACTCGCTCGTCGATTCACTCGTCTCTTGCTCCTTCGCCAACGTCCTCCCAAAACCTTCCGCTACTGTAAACATTGGCGCTCCATTGGATTGACTCGCCAGCTCCGAAGCTCTCGCGCACAAGTCATCCAATTCCTCTACGGACAACAAGCAAACGTTAGCTTACACGCGACTCTAACGCTTTTGCCTTTACCCCTGTTCCGGCAGTAGAATCCCAGAGCTAGAGAAGGATCGATTGCATCCAGTGGCATTTTCCTCACCACACTGCAAAACCAAATCGTCACTACCAGCGACAGGTTTTCATGCACGAGAAACTATCACACCTGCAATGGTACGATGCCGAATCAAACTCCAAGCTCTCGCCTGAAACGCTCACCACCTAGAGAGCAGCGTGGTGTGAGAAACCGAACAATCGAAAAGATGGAGAGCTTTTCCACTTTTACCTTTTGCACCTCATGCGGGTCGAGGTACAAGGCCTGGTCGTCCTGGACGCCAACGAAATACACAGACGCAGCAGGCTTTCCACCAGCAATCCCAACACTTTGTGGGAAAGCAAACGTCGCTCGTAGAGAAGGCAGGTACCTGTGCCAGAGTATTCCAAGCAGCCTCACTACAAGAATTTCGCCACAAAAAAACGTACCGAGGATTGATCTTGTCCAGGCCCAGGACAAGCGGGACGAGTATCAACACTGGACACTTCCCAGCAACGTCGACGTTGTAGAGAACCGGAGCTCCACCTCGTTCTCCGTGTGCATCACCCGAAACCACGTACACGGCCAGATGATCCTCTCCTTGTCGTCCGCGGCCATCGTTCCTAGCCAGAGCTTCGATCGCATGGCACAGCGCATACGGGCCTAGCCACGACCCCGCAGCCAGGCCGTAAGGACTGCCCGCACGGATAAAGTTATGGATAGAGAACGGGCACGCCGGAGAAGGAGAGTCCACGAAGCTGTGCAAGATTTCGAGGTACTCCCGAGCATAAGGCTGCATCACCAACATTTGACCAATCTCATGAGCTATCCTGCAACGCCAAGTCCAAACCAGAGCCATCATACAAACAGTCACCAAGGCAGGCCGTGCAAGCAAAATATGTAGCAGCAAGAAAAATGTGTGCACCAACCTGCTCTCCTCGCCGCCACCCTCGTCCCAGTCGATGGCAAACAAGAGCCTGGAGGAAACAAAACACACGACACCTTTCACGTAAATGAACCAAGAGAACGGCAAAACAAGTCACCTGAGCAAAGAGCATCTGTCCACTCCTGATCATACACCCCCATCCAACATCGCTCGTGAACTTCGATTCACCGATAGCCTCAAATCCTGCCATACCAAAGCACGTACTCTCGGGCTTTGCTTTTCTTTCTTTGAATAGAAAGCTCAAAAAGCTTACCTTGCCTGTAAGTAATCCAGATCCTCGAGCTAAAGTCGAGCAAAAAATCCGCAACAGCCTCGGGAGAAGACGAGGTTGATTCCTTGGCTTCTTCATCCGTGCTGCTGGTCGAAGAAGCACCCATCCTGTAGCAAGCCCCGAGCAGCCAAATGGCGCTGCCCGAAGAGATCCCATTCCCGCCTCTCATTCCCATGAGGCATTCCTGGATTCGTCTCACGGGCCCAACAGCCCTTCTCACCGCAGCAGTCCATTGCAGTGACCCAGCCAAGGAATTCAATCCTTTGTCCCTTGCCTTCGCGGCTCCTGCCCGTGCATCAAAAACCCCAAGAGTGGAAGATATCAAAGATGACCACAAAGAAGAAGAAGAATTTGGAGCAGAAGAATTGGCAGCACCTTCCTCGGCAACCGCAGCGGCGTCGATGATGATTTCCTCGGACGATGGATCGATGCTAGACACTTCCGGCCCGATTCCCTCGGCCGCTGCCGCTGCTGATACCGCGACCTCGCCATTGATTCTCGCGAGAGGAGGCGGAGGCGATGGAGAGTGCCCCATTCTGGAATTCCGCGCTCGGAACGAGAAAATATTTCAGGGCGGAGGAGAGGGGGAATTCTGTTACCTCGATCGGCAGAGGACGAGCGCCAAATTCTATCGCACGATTTCCGGAATCTAGAACCTGGATCGAGCTGGCGCGGGGGAGCGCCAAAAGAAAAAACCTACACTCCCCAAAGAACCCTAAAATGGGGAGCGACAAGCCACAACCCAAAAACTTTTAAGCAAGAATATTCGAGCACAATTAAACAGAGATTATATTACCACAAAATAATCATGCTTAACTCTTTCATAAGCAAATTATACAAAACTTTCCTCCATTCCGCGGAGATTTTCTTCATCGTTTTAAATGGTCATTCCCTGTGGAGCTGCTGGCGCTGGCGTCTTTGGCTTTGGTTTCTCCACTACCACTGCTTGGGTCGTCAAAACCATGCCCGCCACCGACGCTGCGTTCTGGAGAGCGCAACGAGTTACCTTGGCAGGATCGATCACTCCAGCCTCGAGCAAGTTCTCATAAACATCGGTCATTGCGTTGTAGCCAATCTCCCACTCGCTCGCCAGGATCTTCTCCACAACCACGGCTCCCTCCACGCCAGCGTTGTGCGCGATCAAAGCTGCCGGGGACAAGAGAGCCTGTGTGTATGATCCAAGTGAGAAACAAAGCAAATGATAAGAGAAAAGTTACCTTCTCTACGATGTCAGCTCCAATCTTTTCCTCGGGGTCTTGCAAGCTTTGCTTGATCTTCGACACAGAGGCCGAGAGGTGTACCATGGCTGCTCCTCCGCCTGGAACGATGCCTTCCTCTATGGCGGCAAAGGTGGCATTCTTCGCATCTTCGATGCGTAGTTTCCTGTCCTCGAGCTCTACTTCGGTAGCAGCACCCACCTACAAGAGACCACCGCGATTCGGAGTTTAGAGAAAGAAGAGCAAAAGAAAAAAATCCTTACCTTGATGACTGCCACTCCACCGGAAAGCTTGGCTATTCTCTCCGATAGCTTCTCCGTGTCATAGACTGAGTCGGTTTCTGCAAGTTCTTTCTTGAGCTGAGCGATCCGAGCTTGGATCTCGTCCTTGCTCGCGACGTCGGCAATGATCGTTGTTGAGTTGTTGGTGATTTTAACTTTGCGTGCTGTTCCCAGCTGCTCGAAAGTGGCGGTCTCGGGTTTTAGCCCAAGATCAGAAGCAATATATTCAGCGCCTATAACATCACGCAAATGAAAACTTGAACTACAACAAGAAAAGAAAGACTTTTGTATACCTGTGATGATGGCAATGTCCTGAAGGAGTGCTTTCCTCCGCTCTCCAAAGCCAGGAGCCTTGGTTGCTGCAACGTTGAGAACACCCCGGAGCTTGTTCACGACCAACGTGGCCAGAGCTTCTCCGGACACATCCTCGGCGATGAGGAGCAGCGGAGCACTCTTTTGAGAAGTCTTCTCCAGCACCGACAATATATCCTTGATGGTTGTGAGCTTTTGGTCCGTGACTAGAACTTTGGCATTGTCGAACTCTACTGTCGACTTTTCTGGATTGGTCACAAACTGTGGAGAGATGTATCCTCTATCGTACTGCAAAACGTTTGTGTGAGATGAAACTCGGCCAATAAACACCAATTCGACTCACCTCCATCCCCTCTTCCACATCAACGGACGTTTCAAACGAAGACGACGACTCGATAGAAAGTACTCCGTCGGGGCCGACCTTGTCAATCGCATCGGCAATCATGTTTCCAACAAAATCATCGTTTCCAGCAGAAATAGTAGCCACAGCTGCAACCAAAGAAGGAATACATTGAGAACCAGAAAAATTATGACATGCATCAACTAACCTTTGATGTCTTCCCGTCCCTTGACTGGCCTCGACTTATCCTTGAGCTCCTCAATCAAGGCAGAGACAGTTTTGTCAATGCCTTTTTTGATTGCCACTGGATTAGCTCCCGAAGTCACGGACAAAAGTCCCATTTTGATGAGCTCTCGTGCCAATACACACGCGGTGGTCGTGCCATCGCCAGCAGAGTCATTCGTTTTGCTCGCAACCTGTATAAAAGAGACTGATAAGATACGCGAAGAGAAAAAAGAAAGCAAAATGAGGAAGAAAAAAAAAGCTTACTTCTCTGATGAGAGCAGCACCCGCATTTTCCATGTTATTTGGAAGCTCAATTGCTCGAGCAATCGTAACACCGTCGTTGACGACTTTAGCATTTCCAAACTCATCCAACACCACATTCCTTCCTGGAAATGAAGAAAAGAGGGCATGAAGGGAAAGCTAGAAGGAAGCCTTTTTCTTACCCCGAGGACCAAGCGTGACGCCAACAGCATCGGTCAATTTATCAATCCCGGCTTGCAATGCTGCTCGCGAATCCTGGTCGAAGGCAATCTCCTTGGCATTGGCACGAACAACAAATCTATTCCGCCTCGGCCGACACACCGCTCGCAGCCCCACTGCCGACGCTCTCCCAATTAGCTTCCCCTGCGACGAGCCGGAAGGTCGGCCCAGCTGCTAGAACAAGGAATCGAGGAGAAATTCACAAAAAGGCCACAGATTCGCGACGAGAAATGGAGCTTACCGAGAGAGGCGCCGCCGCTAGGCATGGCGAGCGATGTGGGAGCAGCGCATTGTTGGCCGCCATGCTTGCGCTCCTGCCCTAAAATCGCCCTCTCTAAAGCCCCAAAAACCTTAGAAGCCTCTAGAAAAAATATCTTAATATTCCTCCCCTGTTAAAAATTTGTCTCGTACACAAAATAAATGGAGATGCCGGGTATCGATCCCGGTACCTCTCGCATGCTAAGCGAGCGCTCTACCATCTGAGCTACATCCCCTTAGCAATTCTATTATTACTAAAATAATCACAAAACTATTTTTAATTAAATTATTACTATTTTAACTAAATCATTATTTACTAATATTAAGAGTTTAACAATTTTTATCTTTTTTTTTACGATGGGAGCTACTGGCTAAAGATCGAAGAAGCATTACCAAATGCCATCCCAACATATCAACGATCAGAAGTACCATCCATCAAGATCAAGACCAACTTGTCGTGAAGAGCTGGTGATAGACAAATGATCAAAATCTGAAGTACCGAGCAAATTTCTATACCAAGACAAGTGGAGTGGCACTGATGAAGAAAATGTTATACCATATCACTAAAATGAGAAGTAAACTTCTTCCCATTGGCAATTCTGTTCACATGATCGAAGTCACACAAGTATTATAAACTCCTCCATCAGCGTAGAGAAGAAACAGACTCATCAGACAAAATCCCCAAGTGATCCAAAACATCTTCATCTGCTTCTAAAAGCAATGCCTTGAGCGTAGCCGAAAGATGCTGACCGAGGCATCCCTTGCCATTGCACTGCTCACATCCTTCTCCAGGACAGAAAACATCCCCCAACCAAGTATCGAGCATGTCAAAAGACTTGCCATGGGAGCCCAGGTAGGGAAAACAACTATTAAGTCTCGTCGTCCAGTAGTCAACAGTTGCCGAGCATAGAGGAGACCAAAGTTTCGATACCCCAAACCAATAGTCACCCCCGAGCTGCTCGGAAAGAAAGCGGAAAAGTAACTCCAGCTCTCCATGGATGACTACCTTTCCCCCGAGTCCAGGCGTTGCAATGCCTCTATCTGCTTGCGTGAAAAGACCCTCTCCAGAAACAGTTCCCACGGATCCGAAAACGTGGCTTTCTCGGATCCCCCGAGCTCAAACCGAACAGTAAAATCAGACGCATCAACTTTCAGCTCCCTCTTAAAGTTGATTCGACCACCTCCTCTCAGATCGAAGGCCTGCACTTTTGCCAATGCATGAGGACCCTGGACATTCCTAATCAGAGCGCCCTAATGTGGCATTAAACTAGATTTAAACTCTAGGTTTTATAGTGGTTTAGATGGCGAAGGGTCTGTGCCCGAGAATGGGAGAGTTGTTAGAATGATCGTGTGGAGTTTGGAATCGCTTGAAATCGATCATATGATAAGAGCTTCCGGTATTTCACTCGTTCACAGTTGTTGACAAGGATACCACGCTGTTTGAGGTGCATACCAGTGGGTGCAAATTAAATCAGTTTGTGATCTTAGCCATGGAGATTTCAGGGCAAAGCAACTCAAGAGATCAATCTTGAGCTCAAAGGACATGCTCCAAGGATACGGTGCTTCAAGAAGGATATTCTTTTCCCACCTGTTGTAAAAACATTTGTACTAACTCTACCAGAGCTTTGTATGATCGACGAAATGCTGGGATTGGTATGTACGTTGTCTTGCCGTAACTCTGATTTGTTACAAGGACGACTTGCAAAGTACTGAACGTGAATCCCCTTCCAAACGTGTCAAGGGAGTGTAATTGAAAGCTCAACCTCAAGACTAGTCTTGTTCAATTTTCTAAACTTTGTAAGTGGCTAGATATCAAGATTTCTGGTAGCCTATAGTTAAAATAGGTCTAATTTATTTATTAGTTAATTCGTGGGATCTTCTTCTAGGGTTGGATTGACTTTGATCTTTTGAGAAGGGTTTAAGTATTAGTATACTATTCTTAACTTAAACTTAATGAATATTTGAAGAATATTCATACATATATGAATATATCTCTTCTCATTGAGGTCCAGGGTTCGACCTTATGCTGCGCTCATGATCTAAAACATGTAGGTACAAACAACAATATAGGTTCCACTAAGTAAATTACCATAGTGTCCAGACTATAATAAAATGCGAAAACGTTTTGGGGTGTGTGTGAGATCACGGGACGAGACAACGAAACGAGCAGTGGCTCCATGTGCTATGGTCGCATACTTGGTAGATGCCAGATCGTCACGCTCGTGAGCGCGCAGCATTCTTTACTCCCTTGTCATTCCCTGGTGATTAAAACCCCATCGCCACACTTCCTTCTCACATTCCACATTCCTTCTTGCGTGCCGGGGATCTCGCAAGAACAGTAGCGCTGCTCCTCAACCAAGTTCTTCGTCGCGCGCGATCGATCGTCAAGGTAATGGAACTTGGTTCTGCCTGGCTCCTTGCGTGCCAATTCGAGAGCTCGCCACAAAGAAAGATGTGTTTTCTGGCGAGCTTTATACTTGGCACGCAGCGTGTCGGGCTGACTGACTCCCTCTGGATCATCGTGTCAAAGTTCCACTACGCCACCACCATTCACGTCTCTGATCCTTTTGTTCTTGACTGTGTCACTGGCTTGACTTGATCCTGTCTTGGAATGGTTGCTCTAGTCCTGTCCAATGCTCTCCAAAAGTCTCTTCTGACCGTGACTTAATCCTTCTCGTTGCCATGGTGGTGGTCGAGAGCAGCAGAAACTTAACTTGGTCCTCGCTTGAATGCTTGCTGTGATGGTCGAGTTGCTCAAGAACATCGCTTGGCTTCTCCCCAGCAAAACTTTCCTGGATGCCATCTTCATCCCAGAGAGATCTCAAACAGGTCACTCTCGGCCTCCGGGTGTGAGAGCGACGACGTTCTCCGGCCCGACCACCAGTGAGAGTCGAGCCTTCGAATCGAGAAGAGCTCGCTGCCCTCGCCACCGTTAGTGGCGGTGCTGGATTTGCTGGCACTGCTTAAAACGTTGGTGGTGGTCGTCGTGGTCGTGGTGGTGTTGCTGCGGCCGTTATAGCTGCTCGGGTCGGCCGCTCTGTGGTCGTTTGCTGGCATGAATTCGAAGGAGCACTGGCCGAAATTCACGAGCAGTGTCACGTCGTAGTTTGATGCCACTGTTGCATGTAGAGGATAGCCAAATTCTCTGCTGCTACCATCGTTGCAGCTCAGCTCTCCCACAAGCTCTCCATCGAGAGTGAAAAAGAATCGTCTCGACTGCGGGCTGTAGCCGCAGCCTATTGTTGTGTTGGTAGTGCTCGCCCATCCGAACTTCTTCTTCCGCAGGAGCTTGCTGTCATGGCTATCGACTTGAAGCATCCCTGTAGAAAACACGATGGAATTAGTTAGAATAGTTTTTTTTCCCTCGCAAACGCATGCTCACCATTGAGAAAGATGCGGCCGTCGGAGTGCAAGCCTACGGATCCTTGTTCCAGGCCTGGCAACCTGAACGGAGGAGCAGCACTCGGACTAAATCCCACCCCCAAAGTTCGAGTTTTCTCATTACCATCTTCTTGATCAATCCCTGTTGTTGTTGTCGTCGTTGGATCAAACGCTTTTCTGTCGTGGCCATTAGCTTGAATCCTCGTCTGGACGATCTTCTTGGTGGAGGAAGCTTTAGAGTCTCGCTGATGGAATCCATTACCCTTGCTTCCCGACTGCGTGAGCGGATACTTCTCCGACGGGGATGGTCTCAGTATCAACTTCATGTTCTCGCTGTCCGTGGAAGACGAGATCTCGGACGCTAGAACGCTCCTCTCCTCGGAACCAACAGCAACGATGGTTATCTCAAAGTATCCTTCGGGAGGGAACGCGCCAGACGGGGGGCCGGGCAAAGGCAGTGCCGACTGTAGAGCTTGAATGAGCACAACTTGGACATCAGCGTCTAGTTGCAGAGCTGCCGGACGAGCGAGCCTTGGATTGAGCCTGATAAGTTGCATGTAATCGGACCCTGGACCAATCTCCCAAGCGATCTCCGGCTGGAAGGCCTCTCCAAGGCAGCACTTCGTGCAAAGCACGAACGCATCCGCGGACGAAACCGGGCACTGCGAAGAACAATGGTACGTGAACGCAAATGCCGCCCATCCCCGGTCAATAGCGTCGGCTAAGAGATAAGTCGACTCGAGCCAGTCGAAACTTCTCACTGGATACGAACCCCTCCACCTTGCGGCCATTTGGATTCCCTCCATAGCTGCTAGATCCAGTCCTTTCATACCCGAGAACGATCTGTCATACGGGAAAAGCCCACCGCCCCCATCACCATCTAGATCGTGCTTGTCTCTTGGAAGTCTCGGATGCTTTGGAAACCTTCTCGTCTTGAGAGCTCGTAGCACGCAAGTGATGACTAAAGTAGCGAGCAGCAAACTGGCAATGGGTAAACCCACAGCCAAAGCGATCTTCCTCCATGTCTGCATAAGTTCCCACCGCTAGAACTTTTTTTCTTCCCGGAAGAAACGATCTGATCCCTGTGCTGCTGGATTTTTATCCTTTTCTCGCTTCCCAACCAAGAATTCCTGTTCTAGTAGCTCCAACTTAGATCTTGTCCAAGCCCGTACGAAAATCCTTGTCAACCATCACCCACCAAAAGCTCCAAATCTAAAAAAATCTCTCCCAGCCGCTAAGTAGCAATATATCATCCCCGCGAATCACTAGAAAAACTAGTCAAGCCGAAGATCTTGAATGTAAGAAGCTCTCACCTAGGAAGGTAATTGCAATGGACTTTACTTACATTCCAGCGAAACTGCCTGGATGTCGACAGATCAAAAAGAGAAAAAATGGAAAAAAAGAAAGATCGGTCAGCACGACTCCTGGAGATCAACGACGAAATAATCAAACCTGCTGAGAGCGATCGATCGATCGATACCATCCATCCAGAAAATTGCCGCGCGGCTCAGAAAAAGTCGCGCCTGGATCCGCGATCGATTCACAATGCCAGCGGAGAAATTCACATTGACAGCCGAAATATCGCCAGAGATCTTCGATCCGGGCGATCGAGCTGCGATATTGCGGATCGATCAATGCAGGAGCGCGGCGCGCAGCATAAAATCCCTCTCACCGCGCCTTAACCCTATGCGCTGCCCTTGCTTGCGCCGGGGGCCATGGCGATACCCTCCATCTCGCCATGATCCCCCAAGGGAAATGCGGGGGAGAATCAGGGAAAAGTCCCGCTGCCACTGCCAGCTCAGCCGACGAATATACCAGGTGGATATTGCTGGGAGCCGTTGATGAGTGGTGCCAGTGAGGTGTCAGCCGTTAGATAAGCGCAACTTGTAAGCACACTGTCATTTCGTAGCATAGCATGGAAAAGCATACACGATCCAACACGTTAGTGGCTGTCTATGGAAGATACTTCGTTGTAGATAGTAGCCGATAAAATTCTATTAGATTGAAGTATATGGTATTGGTATAAATTCCCAACATGGGGATGTAGCTCAGATGGTAGAGCGCTCGCTTAGCATGCGAGAGGCACCGGGATCGATACCCGGCATCTCCAACGGAAAAAATATGGCTTTGAGAATATGCTTTTTTGTTGCTTTAATGATTTTTGAATTATTGTGTTTTAAGATAATATGAATCATATTAATTAAATTATTTAGTAAATATTTGAAGGAATTCTTGCCTCTTGCCAAGCGGATGTAGCTCAGATGGTAGAGCGCGCGCGGCATCTCCAAAACATTGAATTATTTAAGGTAATGTGAATAAACGAACATCAAACACAACCTCAGGACGACGGAGAACAAAAAATCGTTTTTTTTTCTCTCATAAATTTCCATTTTTCTCTTCCCTGTACAACAAGAACATCGCCTACAAAAAAGCTTTGTGTGTGGAGAACCAAAAACTCAAAAACTCCGTGTTGTTGGCCATCACTTGACGGACTTTGGAGTGGAAGGCGATGGCGATCCCCGCGGCGATGGATAATTGACTTGGCAGGAGCCGTCGACTTTGCCTTGCTTGGGATCCAACTCCGCCAAGTCGTGCTCCGCCTTCCAAAGCTTGCGCTTCAAGTAGTTCACCCTCTTCTCCGACGCAAGCTTCTCAAACCTCTCCTTGCTCAGCTCCGCCTCGAGGCTGTCCGCCTGGCTTTGGAGCCCCTTGCACTTGTCACCGTCGATCCCGGCCTGGGTCTGGTACTCCTTGGTCTTGATCTTACACGTCTCGATTTTGGAGTGAGCCTTCTTCAGCGTCTCCTGAACCACCTGCAACAATGCCAACCAAAGTTTTAGAGTCGATCGATCACCATCTTCTTCGAGTGTGAAGTTTAAGCTAGAAGTTTGATCGCTCGGGAAGTTCTGAGAAAAAACAACAGCTCTAGCAGTTTGTCAAGAAAGTAAAAGGAAGAACAAAGAAAAAGTAGTTTTGTAGCAGGAAAGCTGTGACAACAAGGAGGCAAAACAAACATAAGCTGTAAAAATCGAATCTTGACTGAAAATCACGCACAGAAAAAAGAGAAGAAAGGAGACGAACTTGAAAGAAGAATCCTGGTCTAGGACTAGAAATAAGGAAACATTCCTACTTACAGAGATGCAACCCTCGAGGTGCTGGTTGGCGATCTCCAACCGGATGACTTTGTCACGAACTCTGGCCAGCTTCTTGTTCTCGTTGACAACGTAGTCACGCAAGAGCTTGAGGTGCTCGATCAGCCTCTGGAGCCGTCCAATCTCCTCGGCAAAGATATCTCGCTCCACTTTGATTTCCTGTGCCACCGAGTGTTAATACGGAGAAAGAAGAAGCTTGCATTGAAAGAAAAAACTGGCAAAAACACTCGCATGATATTCTTACTCTCGTTCTCGTCACGCGGATGTCCTTGCGTAGCAAATTGAGCTCGTCGAGCTGTGCTTCGTACGTGTTTCTCAGGTCGCCTAAACGAGTCTTCAATCCTGTGCCGTGAAAGAAGAAGAAAGTTTCGTAAGTAGAACAAGAAAGAGAGGAGAGAGGAAGAACACGAAAGAAGATTACAATTTCTCACAAGCTTGAGAGGACAAAAGCAAGGACGAACCACAGATTCTAGCTCTCAATCTAGACACGCTTCCAGTGCGAGGAGCTCCTTCTAGACCAAGCATCTCGAGCTCCTCAATGTCCTTCTCAAGCTTCCTGCAGTAAGAAAGAACGTTTGATCCATAGCTCGCAAAGTTCCACTTTGATCACTAGCAAGAACAACCAAGAGCAAAAGCTCTAGAACACACAAGAACAAAGAGAACACTAGCAAACTCTAGGAAAGAAGAGAGATCTTGACAAAGAACAAGAGAAAGAAGAGATGGAATGGGATGGAGTGCTTGCCTGTTTTCCAGATCGATGGTGGAGACATGGACCTTGTGGACCTTGAAGTAGTCGGCTTGCTCTCGCAAAGCCTTCCTCAAATCCTTCACCTCCTCTATCAAAGACTCCTTGTCCCTGTAAGCCAAAACCAGCCTTTGCGTCCTCACACACGAGCTCCGGATCTTGGGCGACACTGGCCCCGTCTGTGGCGCCGGCGCCGAGAACGTTGGCGCGATGCAAAACGCAATGCCTCCATCCACCGCCGGGCAAATGCTCCCGCGCAGAGCTCCCGTGGGCGAGATCCACGTCCCGGCGCCCACACCGCCCACGCTCTTCTCGGCGCTCTCCGCCGATCGAATCGGCTTCCACGGCTCCAATTTCACGTTGGGGCCGGCATTCACCACCAGCGCCGGGGGCTTGGCCGCGCCGGGAGGGAAATAGATGCTGCCCGAGCGCTGCTGGACGGTGGCCACGCTCCCCCTGTGGCGAACCATCTTCTTGGCCATCACCAATCCTGGCGATCCCGGCTCAGCGTCGCCGATCGCCGCCCAGATCCAGCAACCCTTTTGGAGCTAGATCCGACCCAGGTGCTCCGATTGCAGCCCCATCCCGCGGATTCGCCGATTTCTCCCTAGGTTTTCCTCCCGCGATTGCGCATTCTTTGCTCATCGCATTGCCCCTCTCCTGTGCCCAATCTGCCAAATCCGCCACCTGGAGAGCGAGGAGCGAGGCCCGATCGAGCTCCAGAGTAGCCAAGATCCAAGAATTTGGGAGGAGCGCTGATTTACCGCTGGACAGGGCAGCAAAGATTCAAAAGGAAAGCCCAAACTGCCGCGTTCACGTGAACTACCGCATGAACTGTGACACGTGGCACTTGTATTTAGGGCACCTTGATTCTAGGGTTTGGGGATTTTATTTATTTTTTGACCTCTCTTGTGTTCTTCGTCCCCCGCCGTGATCTTCGATGGCGCGATTGGTTGTTGCGATTGCCCTGGCCGCGATCTTTGCGGCGATTGCTGGAGCTGAGGTGATCTCGCTCAACGATGCTACTTTCACTGATAAGGTCTGTACGTTTTCCAAAATTTCGAGAGATTTTGACCGAAATCTTTGTTTCTTTCGCTGTTTGATCGCTCTCCAGGTGAAGGAGCAAGACACGGTGTGGTTCATCAAGTTCTTCGCGCCGTGGTGTGGCCACTGGTAACAAATTCCTTTCGCGAGCTCTTTTCTTTTTTTTTTTTCCCGATGGATGGATGGATCGATTTGCTCTTGCGCAGTAAGCGATTGGCCCCGACCTGGGACGAGCTCGGCAAGGCGATCGAGAGCGAGGCCGGTGTGGAAGTCGCGAGAGTGGATTGCACGGTCGATCGAGCGGTTTGCGAGAAAGCTGGAGTTAACGCTTACCCGACTCTCAAGATTTTTTACAACGGCGAAGAAGTGAAGAAGTACTCGGGTAAGCTCTTCCTCCGTTCTTCTTTCTCGTTCACTTTCGATTGATCGATGGTGTTTTGCTTGTTCTTCCAGGAGCTCGCGATCTGGACTCCCTTAAAAAGTTCGCCATCGATTCGGCAGCGGAGATCTCCAAAGCCAAGCTCGAGAACGACAGTCTTTAACTCGACGAGTGAATTTAACGTAGAAATAAACAAGCTAGACGCTGTAGATAAGAACAGATTGATCAGTTCACAGATTGAGATACTACCTTAAGTTCTCCAGATCTTTCTTCTTTTCTTTGTCGCAGAGGTCGCGATTTTTTCGAAGCTCGCGAGATTCCAAGTTTCACCGGAGGTGGTGTCTGCCAAAGCTTTGTTCGTAAAGATCAAAGCTTGGTTTTTGATTGACAAACCTGAGAGTTTCTTTGGTCGCTCTCCGGATCTTACACCGGATCGTTGGAAGGCCGAGCTTTTGATGTGCTTCGAATCGATGGCACCCGGAAAATCCTGCGCGAAAGAGATTTTAGAGCAGCCACAAGAAGATCACGTAGACTTACCATAGTACTGCCCATCAACCTCCAAGACATCGATCTGGCCACACACACACAGTTTTTGGTTCTTCACTTCACTCTAGCTTTGCTCTTGAATCGCTCTTGGAAAGGAAAGAAAAGAGTTTTCTTACGGGCTCTTGGAGGCCGATCTCCGCAATGCTGTCCATGAGCGACTTCACTTTGTCGGGATCGTTTGATCGAGTCCGGAGTAGCGGCCTTCGTATTTGCTCCAGGGGAATATCAGCCACGATTGGGCCCCTGCGCTTGCCAACAAGGGAGCCTAGAAAGAAATTCCATCCCAAAATCATTCGAGAATTTCGCTCTAGCGGCCCGAAATTTCGATCAAGGAGGAAAGGATCTTACCATTCTCCGATGCCTCAGTGGCGCATCGCACTCTTCCAGCGCACGGACGCAGCGGCAGCGGCGCTATAATCGTTCCCAACGCTACACGCATTCTTGAAGAACCCTAATTAAGACAACCACAGAAATTTAGGGTTCTTGGATGGCGGCAAGAGAAGGCGCGATGGCGACAGGTCAGTACCTTTCTTCCACCTCGTTTTTGATCGCGTCGCGCGCATTTTCTCCTCCCTGGATGGATTAAATACCTGGAGGCGCTTGCGTAGCGCGTGCTTTCTCGTGATTGCTTGCGATTTCTTTGCTCGCTTGGCTTGGCTCCTCTTGCTTGAATTTTTGTTCTTCTTTCCAGCTCGCGGCTAGTGTCGATCGAGCAATCGATGAGCAACTAGATAGAACAAGCCAAGCGGTCAGCTATCAGCCTCTTTGTTTTTCCTTCCACTCGAGCCTCATCAATCCGACAAAATACGTCATAAAGGCTCTTGCAGCCGGCAACATCCGTTTTTATTCAGTAATTCTGTACAGTTTCAGCTCGACAAAAAATCTCGATCTTGATCGATCGATCGATCACAGTGGAAAAGAATTCTTCTCGCTTTGTTTCTTGTGTTCTTGTGTTCTTGGGATACTTGGTTGTGGGTTATGTTAGAAAATAATCTCGTCAATCAATCAACCATTTCTTCTTCTCTTTCCTTTCCTTTTTTTCTTTTTTGTTGCTTTTTTTCTTTTCTTTTTGTAGCTTTTCTTCTTTTTTCCTCACTCTGTCGTTCGCTGCGTTGATACACGCACACTTAGACTAGAGCTGAGCTCTTGTTATCTCGATTTTGCAACAGCATAGTGAAGAAAAAGGGGAAGGGAAAGTGTAGTACCTGAATGAATGTGTGTCTGTCTGCTGGGTGTTCTTATTGCCTATCTCCTGTTTTTTTTTTGCAGTTGCTCTTTCCCTTGTTGGTGGTCACCTGATTGGATCAAAGAGCTCGTTTTCGTGGAGTTGCTTGGCGTGCTTGCTATCGGATGCGTGTGTGCTACGGCTGGCCGGTATATGAGAGCTGCTGCGATAACGTATTGAGCTTACTTCCCTCCCTTACAGAGCTTGTCCCAGGCGAAGCTCCAGGTCTACATTCGGGTCGTAGTCCTGCAGCATCTTTTTGCGGTCGATTGTGGAAACCGGACACGACGGAGCTGGAGGAAATGCCCCAAAACGGTTCTTGCTGTCAACCTGCTGGAGTCTCGAGACCCTGGAAGAAAACAATTGGAAGTTAGAACATCGTATCAACGAGAAGCAGACCAACTGGTTCCTAAGCAGGAAGGAAATCTGCAGATGTTACGGTATGAGATAAGAGATACGGGATACGAGAATACGAGATACGGGACAAGAGATGGAGAATTCGGAAGGGACGAGAAAGATTACGAGCTGTTTTGCGGAGACGTGGTGGTGACGGTTGAAGTAGTGGGGACTTGGTGGCAGACACCGGTGCCGTTTGCTGGGGCTGGAACAGGATAGAGCCAGCAAAGTCCCAATGCAGGTGCTGCTGCGCTGGTAGAAGAATCACCCGGAGCACTGGCAGACGCTGGATTGTTGGTGGAGGAGCGCAAGAGGCCGAGCTGATTGGCATACGCTCTCTCGCGCCTGTGGACGTTCATGTGTCCTCCCAGAGCTTGAGCGGTGCGGAATTCCCGTGCGCAGAAGCTGCATGAGTAGGATCGAGGAGGCCACTGCTCGCTACAACTTGCAGCATCTTCGGCAAACGCTCTCACCTCCCAGGACTCATGATCCACCGCTGCTGCTCCCGGTGCTGCTGCTCTTTGGTGGTGGCTCTTCCAAGCCATTGGCCAGCCAGCTCCAGGAGCTATAACTGGTGGTGCGTTATGCCAGGCACCATTGCGCTGCTCGGGCTCGTGTTCTTCTCGCTTTTGCTGCTGGAGGTGGAGGTGGAGCTGGTGCTGTTGCGGATGCTGCTGCTGCTGTTGCTGGAAAGAAGGCACCACCAGGTGAGCAGCCATATATTTCGCTCTCGCAATAATTTTTTTCTCCTTTTTCCTCTAGTTTAATCAACTGTTGCTGGAATTGGACAGCTTGATCACAGCAGCAGCAGCGGCAGCAGCGGTTTCAGCTCCATCCAATATAAAAGCTTCCTGCGTAGAAGAGACAATGAGCGTCCTCCAGCCCGATTCTGGTGTCTCGGGCAAAAAGGAGAAAGAGAGAGGCAGGAGGAAGAAGAAGAAGGAGGCGTAAGTACCCGAGTACTGAGCTCCACGCTAAGGCTTTCAGCTTTCAGGTAGTTAAGCTCTCTATTCTATGGCCTCCTGTGCATGACTACAACTTCTGGGCCTTAAGCTGGCTACTGGAACTTTGTGTGCAGGTGCAGGATCCTACTGACAGTGAGTGTGATTCACAAGGTACTTGCAAACGGGCAACAGACCACATCTTAAGTGGCTTCTCTCCGCATTCCCCTGGCACAGTATCAGAGAAAGGATGGACTTGTGTTGTGAGGTATGTATTTGTGCGTTGTATCACACTGCACACTCTCATGCGGTCCTGCATTCCATCTCTCCTTTTCTTTTCAGGGGTTGCAGCGGACTCCCCGCGGAAAGGAGTTGTGTGCTCACAGCTCTAATAGGGAGATGGAGACCCGACATATATATCGTGTATATATACCAAGGAGAGACTGTCACTCACAGCAGGTAACATCGCATTCACTGCTGCTCTGGAACGCGTTTTTTCCTTCCATCTCCTCTTTCTATTTTATGTTTCCTCCTTGTTTTTCTCCACGAGTTTTGTTTTTCTCGACATTCCTTTCATGCTCTTGCCTCACCCTTGGCTTTTTGTTTCCTTGTGCATAGATGATATCGTTTGAAAGTAGCGGGATGCACAAGCAATACTAATCGCAGCAGCTATGATACTCCGGCAGGAATAGTACAGCGCCGCAGCGAGCGGTGGGGCGGAGCTTGACAGATCTTGCGTGCCAGCCACCTTCGCCAACTTGAAACTGCTGGAGCTCTCGACACGCACATTGTCAAGTGATCAGGAGGTGGATGTGGATGGACACACAGGCAGCGCAGGTAATCGATTATATGGCTTTGGGGTGTAAGCTGATATTCTCTCAGGTGAGAAGAACGAGGTCGTTTCCATTTTGGGTGAGCCGGCAAGGACTTCTCGTACTACTTCTCTCCACCGGTGATGGTGTCGTGTGGTTATCTTAGTCACTTGGTGCTTAACTTAAGTGGCTGTTGGAACAGTGCGATCGCTTCGACATTCCCAAGGGATCCAGTAGCTGTGATAATTCGTGGACAAAGAGCAGGAGCGGTGGGCGAGATTGGAGATGGCACGCCGAGAAAACTCCAAAAGAGGTACTTTGGAGTTTCTCAAAGCTTGAATGGAGTGAGAACTCTCTCGGACTTAACTCCACAGGCCGGCAACCGGCTGGAAGCAAGAGCAAGGCGACACCTCCCGCTGGCGAAATGCTGGCCGGAGGATCTCTCGCAAACAACAACTTGGATTTGCCCGAGTGACAAACAAGGTGAGTGTTTGCTTTGTTGCTACTTTTGCATTATAAAACAGCCTCTTGTTTCAATGCCCCACTTTGGCAGCTTCCATGGCAACAAAGACTCTGCGAAGGACCGAGTGAGGAAAACACTGGCGTGATCGCGAATAATTTCGCGCGTAGTTTAGCATTTGGACTGCGAATCCGAGGACTAAAGCCGCATTATCTTCGTCCCAGCCTCGACGAGCAAGCTTGCTCGGTGTTTGATTGATTGTCCCTGTGGACTTTGCCCGCGAATGCGCGCGCGCCACGCGTCGCCCGGCCATACGCCACGAAAGGAATGTTTAAAAGCGTCTTTGAGATAAAATCTAGGCTGCCAGCTTAGTGCCACGTGGCGCTGGGGATCTCATGGGTCTTGTTTAGGGTTTGGGCGATCGGCGAGCGAGCGAGCGAGCAGCGCCGGCGGCGGCGCGGCGGCTGGAATTCACTCAGGTGAGAGCCCAGACGATCTCCTCCAGCTTTGATTTCGTGATTCATCGGCCTGGAGCTGCAATCATGGCAATGTGGCTGTGTATTTATTCGCATTCTTACTTCGAGCGTAATTACTCTCTCTCTCTCTCTCTCTCTCTCTCGCTCGCTCTCGCTACCTGTGAGTTGCCCCGCCCCGCGCCTGAGCTGCCAGATCGGTGTGAGTGAGAGTGGCGATTTTTCGTTTTTTTTTAAAATTTTTTTTTCTTGGGTTCCCATTTTGGGTAGAGGAATGAGAATAATCTCCTGTGATCATGCCTGTTGTTCTGCTTGTTCTGCCTGTAAGGCCTGGTTTACCAGTTATTTCCATTTTTTTTCTCCTCTCTCGCGAAGTCAACAAGCGAAAAGAAAAAAGAAAGAAAGAAATGCAGAGAGAATTTCGTGTGGCTCCACTGTTCTCACAGATTGTTCTTTCCGTCAGCTCATCAGCCAGTGGCATTTACTTTGTGATGGTTTCTTCGTCTCATTTGGAGCATTGATTCTGGAGAGCTTGTACAAGCAGCTTTCTAGCAGGGTGCCGCTTTCACTTGGAGGTGACTTCTTTGCCTTGCTTCCGAATCCCGGGTCCATCTTCGACATGATATCTGATCTCTGTTGCGTTCTTGTCAGGCCAGCCAGCGAAACTCACTGGGTGTGCGATTTTCGGCCAGATTTGGACCAGTCCCACATGGTATTTAGAATAGTCTGGACGGTTCTTGATGTAGGCAGTGTTTGAGGAAGCCGAGTGAGTTATTACAATTGGTAAGTGAAGCCAAAATCATCATACTTAAGGCTGCTCTAATGGAACTTGTGTGTACTTTCAGGATAGCGCCCTCAACCAAAGTACTGGAAGTTATGGATGGTTTGCTCGCCTGGGCAGCTGATGTTGTTGGAGGTGGTTCCGACCCGGAATCTCCTGCCGCCAGGGCGTTTCTCGCTTTTACTCCGGACCAGCTCCACGAGATTGAGAGGCTGGATAGAAGAGCTTCGGAGCTCCAGCGGAGTTTGCAGCAGCTGAGGCACCGCTTGCCTCCGGCAAACATTGCACAGGGTCTGCCTCACTTGCACGCGGAATCATTGGCTTCGCAGTCGGCACTGGCACTTGAGCTTCACGCTCACTCGGCCTCACGCATCCAGGTATTGCAGTGTCGGTGTCCGCAACGTTTGTGGTGGCTGCTCACTTTGGTGTTGCTTTCTTCCAGGCTCAGGTGAGAGAGTCGACTTTGCAATCTGACATTGCGGCTTACAAAAAGGCACTGGCTGCAACTGAGCAGCAGGCAGTTGATCGATCCCGTGAAGCACAGGAGCTTGAATCATCATTTCAGGCAAGTTGAAAAGAAAAAAAAAGGTTTATTTCATGAGCTAATTTGGCTGTGATATGAATGTAGGAGCTTGACCAGCTGGAGCAGAAGCTGAGAGAAGAGTACGATTGCCTGGAGAAAGAGTTGCGTGCGCAGCGCGATAGTATTGAAGAGCTAGAGGAGAAGGTACAGGAGGCCTCGCCTCTGGAGGAGGAAGAGGCGAGCGAGCTTCAGTCACTGAGAGCCGAACTGGTAATAAACTCGCCTCCACGATGCTATGATAGACATGCGCCATTATCGTGCAGGCAAAGTGGCAAACAAAGGCTGCAGAGTCGAGAAAGGAGCTGTCGATGGTAGAAAACGAGGCCCTGGCATGGCCTTCGTCTGGTAGTGAGTTTTGGATTACTTGGTTGTCGCGAGCTTACGGTTGTCAAGCAGCTCAGCGAGAAAAGGACTTGGAGCGGCGCTTACGATCCCTTACAGAGCAACTTACGGCCAAGCAAGTATGTGGTTTTCAATCTTCCTTCAGCTTTGCGTTCTAATTTCTTCCTATGCCAGGCACAGGCCGAGAAGCTAACTATCGAGCGTGACAACTTGGAGGCGCGAGTAGAGCATGCAAACCAAGCACGGAAGAATCAGCTCGTGGAGAGCTTGGCTCACACGGTGAAGAGGAACAAGATCGGAGTGAAGCACTTGCTAATGGATCCATCAGAGCCTCAGAGAAAGTATCCTAGCCGGGGAGGATTGAGCAGCAGCCTTGGCGTGTTCCGGACGAGCCTCGCCTTTAAAGCGCTGGTAGTGGGGTACGTCTTCCTCCTTCATGTCATAGTTCTCGTGGTTCTTTCGAGCAAGCACATTGAAGACTGAAGATGATAAAAGGTGGGCTTACTTTAGCAACTTGTGACAACTATTTAAGTTCGTCGCTTTGTTGTTCTAGGTTGAGATGGCTAGGACTAAGCAGATGATCCGGAGGAAGTACTATGACGATGAAGATGACGATGAGTATTGTGAGAATGAAGATTATGAATATTATGGATCCAAGCACGACGATACTCAACCACAGTACCCTTATTTGACAATCGAATCACAGATGCCCGGGTTCCATCGATTTAAGCAGCTGGAGATGAAAACCACGGCTCGCCATTAGCTACTTGTTGTAAGCTTTTCACTACCTTTTTGTTTAAATTTTAGTTTTTTCCTTATCGTTTTCCAATGAATTTTCTAGAACTTAACAGGACCTCCCAAAAACATGGTAGAAACATTGGAGCGGCGGAACTAGCGCAAATTTGGAGCTGACCGTGGAGACACTTGTGATTTGTTCATTTCATCCTCGCAAGGGTACCCCAACATCTGAGTATCTCTGGCAATTACGACATTTTTTTTCTGTAGGGAAGCTTAAGCTCTTTGTCTCCCAAGGACGGGAATCCACGGAAGCTCGCTGGTGTGATCTCTATCGACACTATAGACTGGAAGGAGGCTCGATTTCGCGCGTCAGGAGATCTTTGACAACATAGAGAAAGGCTGCCAAGATCCCATCTCTCTCTACTTTTTCTCTAATGAGTCCAAGTGGAACTATACAGTCCTCGATGTGGAAGGCATCGTCGGTACTAAATGTGGAGGAATTGACAAGTCTTCCCTGCCTGGCAAGTCTAGTTTGTTCGATAGTGCTTGAAAAGAATGATGTTTTGTTGTGCAGCTTTCAGAGCTCAATGCCAGTCGAGGAGATCAAACACGGAAGAAATCGAGAAGAGGCTATCGCGAAAGCTGGACGAGACAAAGAAGTTTGTCCAACTGGGAAGTATCTCTGTGGAAAGCTCTAGAAGAACAACGATGTGAGTTTTTTTGTATATATATCTAACAGATCTTTAACTTTCGATTGATAACAGCGGTATCCTCTCCCGAGAGAGGACACCTTATGCAACTCTAGAGTTTTGTACGAGGGACTGCTGCGAGTGATCGTTGGCGAGCACGTAAAAGAATGGAGCGTGGAGGACGTTTTACCTCTGATGAAAATTCTCAGGTAGATCATCCTCTTCTTCTTTTTTTCCACTAAGTGAGCTTCTTCTTTTGCTTCTTTTTCGGATGCGCGGGCGCAAGAGCAGCACGAAACTCTTTCTCGAGAGCTGCGAGAAATGGTTTGCGCTGCTCTCGACATCTTGACGCCAGAGCTGCGCAGCCAGTTTGAAGATCAGATGGAGTCTTTCAAGACACTCCTCCAAAAGCATTGTCTAGCATCAAAGTCACGAACCACAATAAAGATGGAAAAAGGTGTAATGAACGGCTGAGATTTGCTAGATCCACTATATCTGGGCCTAGGGTTTTGTGGTTTTTGCAATCGATGAAGGCCTTGTGCGTGGTGGAGGGCAATCGCATCGGCGACCAGAGCTGCTACAAAGAGGCGGACTTCTCCCACGCCAAGCGCAAGCATCGCGACGGCACCTGGAGCTTCTTCGATTCCAAGGTAAAAGAGGTGGACGATGATGGTAAGACGCTGCCTCGAGAGCCTCCTTTTTTGCCTCCTCCACGCACCAGCAAGCCGGTCTTGGTGCTGGATCTAGATAACACACTTGTGTCGTGCTTGCTGGATCACCACGGCTCGGATCCCGGGGGTAAGGTTTGCTCATACTTCGTGGCCAAGCGACCCGGAGTGGACGAGTTCTTGCACACCATGGCCAAGCACTATGAGATCGTTCTATGGACCGGCTCTCGCAAGCGCTATGCCGACGGGGTTTTGGAGGTTTTGCCCGACGTGTTCTCTCACAGGCTCTACAGGGTGGACAAGAAGCTGGCGAATTTGGGGAGGGATTTGCGAAAGGTGGTGATGGTTGACGACTGCCGGAGAGGGGGCTGCCCTGAGACGGACAATCTGATTGTCATCTCGCACTACGTCCATGATGGTCGGCATGAAGCGTGTAGCAAGCTCAAGGAGGTGGGCGAGATTCTCGTCAAGATGTCTTGGGTGGAGGACGTGAGGGATGAGATGAGGAAACTGAGGGAGAGCGGGGTGCTGCAGAAGATTGCTGCTTGCCCTCACGCCTGCAAGGTACGCGGCTAGTAGTGCAAGTGCACCGTTAAAACTGTATAATAAACAAAAGTTTATTCTGTCTTTAACTATTATACTATTTGGAAAACAAATACATGTCAATCTTGAATTCCATATTACGCATTTTAAGTTTGCAGCTCATTTGTCCATCCCTTTTTTTTTTCTTTTTCTTTTCACTAAAACATAAGGACTCAAGAATACTCTAGTGACCATGAAGAAAGAGAAAGAAAAAAATTAATGTATATGTTTTTTTCAATTTAAGAATGTTTTATTTCACTGCTTCCATTTTGTTAAATTTATCCATAATGAACTCCAAACTAATAAATGTGTTTGGTTTCTTCTTGTGCATGTAGTCTACTAATCTCTCATCTATGCTGCTCCTTCTGTAGAAGAACTTAATTATATTTCTGTATTTAAAAGGATAACTATAATATTACTTATTGCAAAACATAGTATAATTATGTGAAATATGGCTAGATCAATATATAGTTTATTCGCTTAAATATTTTTAATATATTCATCTTTCCAATTAAATAGAAAGAATTTATATTTTATATATAAGATCTATAAATACATATATGTATATAGTCTAAATAATACATTAATTATAGTAATATAACATATAGCATATAGAGCATACTCATATTTGTGAACATAAAGGGCATTATAATTTGTCCTTAGAAGGCAAAACTTTTTTGTAATAGCGTTCATGATTGTGTTTTTGTTTTTATTCCTTCAAATTTAATTAGTTTTTCTCCAAATCTAGGATTGTATATATATTAGATTTGTTCTTCTTTTTCCAATTTCCATTACATTTTCTTCTTCTGCCATACCATGTTATTATTGATTAAGGAGTATATTACTTGAGGATACTAATGGTGCTCTATTAGATTGAGTTTTTGGTAGTGTAGAGCATGATTATATCCCCATCCTTAGTGTGTTGTTGTTGTTGTTAGCTTTCATAGGATATTATTACATAGTGTTTTTTATTTTTTATGTCTTGATGTCTCTCATTGATTATGACATTGATTGAAAAGTTATAAATGATGCAGTTTGATTCTTGGAGAATAGTTTATGGGAAGATGATATTACAAATTTGAGTAGATTCTTACTGACAAGATATTCAATTACTTTGAAAATATCTTTGGAAACAAATTAAAGATTTTTATAGAGTAAATATCAATCTTTTAATTTATCATTTGATACTTTATTTTTGCTCTTTCCTAAATTTTTTTTTCAGCTTGAGGCAATTTCTCATGTTCCTAGTGTTTCTTCCTCATTTGAAATATTTCCTTCTTTTAGCATGTTAATTATTTGTGACTCTTATGATTTTCATTATCAATTCAATGTTAAATTGAGTGTTTTTTATCCTTTTCATACTAATTTAAATGTTAACCATATGTTTGAAGTCAAGAATCTTGCTTCTTTTTTATTGGTAAAATCTTTGATCAATTTTGGTGTTAAATATTCCTCTGTTCCAAAGTTTATATAACTTTTGCTAGAGTTTTAACTTGAGTATATGTCTTTAGTTATAAATGCCACTAAAAGCTTTTCTTTTACCATTACTACTAAAGATTTTCTGTGTTCTCTTGAGAATATGGACTTTTTTATTAATTTTCCCACCTTGAGTTTTGTGTTGAGGAGGTTGAGTGGTATAAATCTATTGTTTATTTTGTGATAGCTAAAATATTTTACAATAAGAAGTTTTTATTTTCCAAGCTTTGAGCATATTTCCTTCTTTTTATTTCCTCATTTTCGTCTTAATAAGTTATTAAAATTCCTCTTATGATAATTTTTTGCACTTTTTCTTCTTCTATAATGTATTTTCCTCAATTTTTTTTATCTTCTCCTCTTTATTGTAACATTTTAAACTTTTTTTAAGAGGAAGGAGTAAAAAAGTCTAGTTTTGACAATAAAGTGAAAATGAGTGAAGTGATCAATCAGAGGATGTAGAAATAAGCTTTACTAATTATTATGAATTCAAGTTAACAATGGTCTCGAAGGATGGCCATTGGATAGACTTAAATAGAATGTATTATTTATTACAATAGTGTTTTGTAGACTGTAATGGTTTTCAAGTTTTTTATTTTGGTTTAAAGTTATAACTTTGAGGTTGATTTGAACAATTAATAATTACACATGGAGTTGTAATTAGTTAATTGATTAATATTTATGCCATAACTTTGGGTTTTAGTTTTATCATGGTTGTTACCAATTCCATTATATAAGTTGTAGGTTCTTATGGCAGTTTATAATCATCTAATAGAATCTTCAGATATTTTATTTGACTTATCATTGTCACTTTTTCATCTTTCGGAAAGAAGGATGGTATAAGATCTGTAAATATATATATGTATTACCTTGTCTAATTAATATATTAATTATAGTAATATAGAATATGAGGTTTATACCCATATTAATATATGATATAAACTGGTATATACTCATGATATTATATATTGTTAATCTATGGATTTTGTTTATGACTTCCCTTTTTAAGTCCAGTTTACTTGGTGATACATATGTGATAGTGATACATAGAAGTTTCATTTACGTGTGTCAGTTGTGTTAATTTGAGAAAAAAAATCTTTTCCACTAAATGACATCCTTACACAAATTCATATTCAGAAAAGAAAAATAATAAAAAAGAAATAATTTTGTAAATTTATAATATCACATTTAAATTTTAAAGAAATGCATATATTAATCAGAGTTTAGACCCTGCTCAATTAGGATCATACATCCATAAAAAACAATTTTTTTAATAGATAGATAAATAAGTAAAAGAAATCATTTTTTTTTTCTTTTTGCATTTGCAAGTGTACTATTTTGGCAATAGGCTTAATTCCAATTCTTTATATTTCCCAGTGTTATGTCCTCGAAGCGCGCTCACATGAAGAACACCATTGGTGGATACAAATTAAGATTTCCTTGAATATAGTGGTGGTGTCATTAGGCCTATAACTAATTTAGGAAAACATGTATAGTCTTCGTATTCTCTTCCTCTCCTCCGTTATAATTTTGGTATTTAATACTGCATCTCAGAAAGAAATCTTTGTCACTCTCACAAACTATGTCGGGAGTGACTTGAAGATCGCTTGTCAGTCTTCTACACACAAGTCTTTGATGTCAAATGGATTCATGGAAGATGGTAGCACTTCTAGCTTCCAATTTGAGGGTAACGACTCAACCATCTATCATTGTGAAGTATGCTCTAAATATGGGCATCAACAATTTGACATATTTGGGGGACATGCCCCAGGGAATTGGAAGAATGCCACAATTGATCAAGTCAATTGGTTTGTATATGGATATGGAATTTTTGCTGCCAATAGTTGTATAGATCAAAGAAAATGTTCCATCAGCAACCTAAGTAAATGGTATGATTGGAAGGCTTGGTAAATTGGTTGAAAAAGTTTTTCATCCAAATTATAAACATTGAATTTAATAAGGTTTGGCTTAACTTGAAATTAAACAAAACCAGAAGCGACGTGTGGGAAAATATTTCTAGGGTTCTTCGTGGAAGGCGAATGGCGACCTCTGGCGTGGTCCTCCGGCCTCTCGATTGCACGCCATCGCCGTCCTCCCCACGCGGCTATGGCTGCAATTCCAGCGGCGTCGCTGGCGATGGCAGTGGCGAGGAGGAGGAAGAGAGCATCCAGATCTTCGTCGCCATGGCGGGTAAGGCGCTCATTCCCCTACGGATCCTCACCAGCGACACCATCGCCTCGGTCAAGATGCGCATTCAATCGCTCAAGCGAGGTATGTATGTCAAGCAGCAAAAGCTCGTGCACGACGGCCGGGAGCTCGCCAGGGACACGAGCCGCGTGAAGGATTATGGGATCCGGCCTAGGGATGTGATCCATCTCGTCCTGCGCGTCTCGGATCTTCTCCAAGTGGTGGTAAAATCCGGAGGAGGGAGAGAGTACATGCTGAAAGTGGATCGAAGCAGCAGCAGGAAGCCAGCAGCACGATCCCAGAGCCTCTCTCCTTCTCGCCACGAAGATCAAGGATTGATCTTGAGAGGCGAGCGCCTGGACGACAAGAGATTGATCGAGGACTTTCTCCTGGAAGACGATGCCGAGGTCCACATCGTGGCGAGAAAAGCTGCCAAAGTACGTACTTGGCACGTAGGTGGCGGGGGCACCGAAGTTTCCATCGAGGATGAGAAGCGATCCAAGCGAAGAGGAGCTACTGCTCTGATCGAGTCTGGGGTGGTGAGCTGCCAGCCAGAGATCCAAGTTCCAGAATCGCTTCTGGACATGCTCGGGGAGATCAACGCTGGGCTGGATCAAGGATTTTCTCCCGTCTTGTCCAGTGCTGGCACTGGTGGAGCGTACTGCATGCTGGATCGATCGGGAAGCAAGGCTCTGGCGATTTTCAAGCCCATGGACGAGGAGCCCATGGCTGAGAACAATCCGAGAGGCTTGCCACTGTCCATAAGTGGCGAGGGACTGAAGAGAGGGACCATTGCCGGGCAGGGAGCGCTCCGAGAAGTGGCTGCGTACGTCTTGGATCACCCGAGGAGTGGACCGAGAGCTCTGGCCGGGAAGAACGAGAAAGGCTTCGCGGGAGTTCCTCCCACTGTCATGGTCCGCTGCTGCCACGCCGGAGCGGCTTTCAGTGAGCCGGAGAAGCTGGGATCCTTGCAACAGTTCGTCTACTCGTGGAGCAACTGCGAGGACATGGGGCCTGCTCGTTTCCCCGTGGACGAGGTGCACAAGATCGCTATACTGGATATCCGACTCGCCAACACCGATAGGAATGGTTCCAACATTCTGGTTTGCGAGTCGCCGGACACCTCTTCCATGGAGCTCGTCCCCATCGATCATGGCTACTGCCTTCCAAGCAAGGTAAACCATCTCTCTCCGAGTTTCCAGATCTCTAAACTCGATCCATGCAGTTCGAGGACTGTACGTTCGAGTGGCTAACTTGGAACCAGTCCCGGCATCCTTTCTCCAAGCCGAGCCTGGAATACATCGCTTCTCTGGACGCGGACAAGGACCTGGAGCTCCTGGCGCAGCACGGGTGGCGGATTGGAGTCGAGTCGGCCAGAGTGCTGCGAGTCTCAACCATGCTGCTGCAGCGCGGGGCAGCTGCTGGGCTGTGCGCCTTTGACATCGGCTCCATGATGTGCCGGGACGCGCTGGACAGCAAGTCGGCCATCGAGAGAATGCTGGAGGAAGCCGAGGGGTGTGTTCTTCCCGAGACGAGCCAAGAGGCGTTCATGGAGGCCCTGGCTCAAGTCATGGATTATCACTTCCAGCAAGCTCACACCCAACGGTAGCTCTCTGTAATCATATTCTTCCCTTTCTATGGTTAAGCTTTGATCTCCACTCTCATGGTAAATGACTACCTTGCAACGTATTGAAGGCTATCCAATGTGCAAAGAACAGTTTGTGATCCAGTTAGAGAAAAAATGTCAAACTTTGAAGCTCCAGGCTAAAACACAGTTTAAAGCCTTCTCTTCCTCCTCTCCTGAGATTTTGCTTGTTTCCATCAGCAAGCAAGAAATTAAACAGGAAGTTCTTACTTGCTCATGATCAGTTGTTTCTCTCCTATGCACTCAAGCAGCGATAAGTACAGCCATAGCTCCAGCTCCAAAGGCAAGCGTGCTGAGCAGGAGAAAGATCCACGATCCACGATCGAGCAAGCGACGTGCACGGTATCAACTCCATTTCTAATTCGAACCTAAAATGGACGGTTGGGAAACCGTGCCATTAAAAGTGTGTACATAAAACATCCAAATAAGTTTTGTTTGATTATTAAGGATTTTCAGCACTTTATTTAAATATTTTGAAATGCTTCTAATAATGAATGAATTGGTGATCTTAAGCTTTTAGATTTATTTTAACTCACTTTTGTTTAGTATCAAGCTTCCTGATGATGAAGAAGATTATTAATAACATCTTTTGTCACTTCCACCAATTCAAATTGTATTGGCATTACCAATTCATTGCATTGCTAATTCAAATCAAATCTCCAATATAAATGGTATGGTATGTGAGTTGTTATTATACAAGTGGAAGTCATTTATTATTAGACAACCATTAAATTATTAGATATTGAAGTAAGGAGGGGACTATAAATATAAACATGAGCAGATACAATTGTTTAATTATAAAGTTTTAAAAACAATACTTTTATAGATTATGTTATATCCTTTAGTAAGCTTAATATACAGTAATACTTATAATACCATTATTGTATTTAAATTTTTTTAGCATGATTTATAAAAGTATATAAAATAATAGTTGCTACTTTTAATTAGTTTGAGATTTCCTCCCACACTAAGTATATTAAAAAATTAATAAATAAAAAAATATAATTTTAAAATAATTATATTTTACATTTTTGTAAAATTTTAAGGCATTAGTTAAGTTTCACACTTTTATTGAACATAAAAAAAGATGTTTTGAATGGAAGAAAGAATTTATTAAATTATATTTATTAATTATTTGAAGATTTTTTCCAATTTTTATTTTGTTCTAATTAAGTAGACACATAAGATTAACGTTAATTTGTTATTATCATAAAAAATTGTAAATTACTTTACATATATACAAATTTTAAATAAAGTTATTCATTAAATATATCAAAGGTTGCTACTCATAGATTATAGATACTAAGACATATCCAATAATAACAAAAAACTTTTATATTAAGTAGAATCGCTATGTTAAAAGCTGAAACAAGTGTGGTGATATAGGGGGTGTGATGGTTATAAAGGATATTAATTTTTAATTATTACCTTTTATAAAATTTTTGATATATTTATTTATGCTTATAACAACTAAGTTTACAAAAAACTTAAAATTTCTTTTGACCTTAATTTTATTACATATAAGCAATAGTGAAAAAATTTCTTGGTAGAAATCACAAAAATAAAAACTAAGTAAAAATATATCAAAACCTATATTAAAACTAATTAAGTTTTTAGTAGTTTATACATATAAAAATTTAATTTCTCATAATGATAAAATATTTTTCTGTTTATTGTAAATTATAATAGTATTTATAAAAAAATGAGTATATAAATTTACATAGAACATTATGAGATGATGGTGACTGTTATTTCAATAATTTAGCTTTATGGGCTATAAATAAATATTATAGAAATTCATTATCTACTGTTTAAAATATTTATTAATGTTTTTAAATATTTTTTATGGTTATTAGATACATTCAATTAAATGTTCCGATAAAAAAGTTTCATTTTAAATATAAAAAAAGTTTTCATTGCTTAATCACCCAACTTCTCACCAAATCACACCACACCCAAAAATGAACTTCACTTATCTTATGCAATGTCTAAAAAATTATTAAAAAATCTAAAAACACTTAAACAACAGTCAGGTAAAAAACAGGTCCAATCACTTTGAGTTGATAGTGCTTAAGCATTTGATCAAGCTAACTCAAACCTTCAACAGAATCATTGAAAAACACAATGAGTTCATAAAGATTCCTGACTTGGACCTTGATAGCATAAGCTCAGAGGCAGCAAAGAAAGTTTAACATTGAGCACTCACTAAATTGGCGTAAACTCCTTTGCAAAAAAGTGAAAAAGGAAAAATAAAGTCACATAACATATTGTATATCAACCAATCCACACTAATGTCTTTGGCGCTTGCATTCTGCTCAAAAGATGTTAGAGCAAACGATGGGATTGGCAACACATGCGTGAACAAAAGTCATCCGGATCATTTGGCTTGGGCTGCGTGAATGCTGCCATCAGCAGGCTGATTCACTGGTTGGATAATTCTAGCTGGAGTTGCTTGAGCCTGGTGACAAATCAAACCCAACTTCAAAAGCATGCTCCAATTAACGTTGTACATATACATAGACTATAGATCACCTTTATGCCAATGTTTTGTATACAATGTAGACTTTCAACTGGTGATTCAGGAAACCTATAACTGTTTCAAACCAAACCTAGAATTTAAACACTAGAAGTAAAAACTTTAGTGTAGATGAAGATTGGTCAACTAGGTTAGAGTAATTGATGCTTGCTACTTGCGCCAAATAATTCCTCGCCACGACCAGATTATATCAAGCGCTCTGGGCATACACTGCCAACCAGGAGAATTCCCCACTCGCCATGCCATCTGGACGATGAGATGCTTGCTCGCGAGAATCTAGTGTTCTTCCATTTGGTCGAAGACTCATCAATCCAATGAGCGGTTTGGAGGTGCCGAGGCGTTCATCGAGACCCTGGCTGAAGCTTCTTCCATCTCTATGGTTCCAAGTTGCAAGCTTTTGCTCTCCATGAGTTTCACCACTCCCTCACATCCATCACTCTTGGCAGCAGCAAGCCACGAGCCCGAATCGATCGTCTTCCCGGCGGCACGAACACCACAGTCGAGATCCAGGTAGAGCTTCGCCGCCGACACCAAGGTCCCCCACTCCACACCCTTCGGTAGAACAGCCATGCTCTCGACGAGCTCCTGGGCATCATCCAGCTTCCCGGCCTTCCCAAGGATATCGATCATGCAGCCGTAGTGCTCTCCCACCGGAGCTATGCCGTGATCCGAGACCATCGACACGAAGCACTCGCGTCCCTCCTTCACCATACCGCATCCTATCAGCACGCTCGCGTACGAGACCTCGTCCGGCAAGACGCCCTCCACTTCCATCTCCCGGAAGAGCTCCATGGCCTCTCTCCCATGGCCGTGCCGGGCATACGCCGCCACCATTGCGTTCCAAGCTCTCACGTCCCGCTCCGGCATGGAGTCGAAGAGGCTCTTGGCTTGATCCACCTGGCCGCAGCGAGCATACGCCTCGAGCAAGCTCATGGACAAGATCGAGTTCCTGTCCGGCATCTCGTCCAGCAGCCACTTTGCCTCGTCCAGCCGCCCCGAGCTTGCGTACGCCGCCACCATCGCGTTCCAGGCCACCGCGTCCTTGACAGCTATGCCGTCGAACACCCTCCTGGCTTCCTCGAGGTGGCCGTCTTGTGCGTAAGCCACCACCATCGCCGTGGAGGATCCCTGCGTTCTCTCCGGAATGGTGGCGTAGAGTCCCTGCGCGAGCTCCAAGCTCCGCTCCCTCACGTACGCTTGCAGCATCACCGTCCACGAGGCCACGTCCCTCTGCGGCATCCTGTCGAAGATGGCCTTGGACTCTTTCATCTGTCCCGAGTGAGCGAACGCCACTGCCAGTGCCACCCACGCCGAGACGTTCCTCTCGTGCATCCTGTCGAAGAGCTTCTTCGTGTCGTGCAAGTGCCCGCTCTTCGAGAACGCCATGAGCAAGACTGTCCAGGCCGTCGAGTTCTCCCCTGGAACTTGCTCGAACAGGTCCATCACCTCCGGGAGATGCCCATACTGCTTGCACGAGCACACCACCATCGTCCAAGTCACCTCGTTCCAGTAGCTCATCCTCTCAAACACCGCCTTTGCACGAGCGAGGTGGCCAGTCCGAGCATACGCGGAGAGCAGCGAGTTCCAGGCCACCAGATCCTTCTCGAGCATGTCGTTGAACAGCCTCCTCACGAGCTCCAGATGGCTGTCGTCGTGAGAGAACGCCTGGAGGAGGATCGTGTTGGATGCAACGTTGTGCATCGGCATCAGCTCAAACAAGGCCCTGGCATCGTCCCTGTATCCGTTGTGAGAGTAGGCCTCGAGCATCCTGTTCCAAGTCTCCAAACTCCGGTCCGGCATCCGATCAAACAGCTCCTTTGCATCGTCGAAACAGTCGTTGTCCGCAAAGGCCGAGAGCATGGTGTTCCACGACGTTGTGTTTGGATCCGGCATGATCTGAAAGAGCACCTTCGCCTCTTCAACTCGGCCACCTTGAGCATAAGCCGAGAGCATAACGTTCCACGACACTGGATCCGGATCTGGCATGGTATGAAACATGCTCTTCGCTTCCTCCAGCCGGCCATTCTTCGCATACGCATTCACCACCGCGTTCCACGAGATCACATCCTGTTCCGGCATCGAGAAGAAGAGCTCCTTGGCCTTGTCCACAAACCCGTTCTCAGCATACCCGCTTATCATGGCGTTCCAGGAGATCACATCCCGCATTGGCATCCTCTTGAACAGAAACTCTGCCTCGTCGTGGAAGCCGCTCTGGCTGTAAGCCACCGTCATGGCCGTCCAAGCCACCACGTTCCTCGTCGGCATGGTGACAAACACCCGGAACGCGTGCTCGAGGTACCCGTTCTGGGCATACGCAGCAACCATCGCGTTCCAGGTGACCAGAGTTCTCTGCGGGATGGCGTCAAACAGCTTCTTGGCCTTGTTCATCTCCTTGTTCTGTGTATAGATTGTCATCATCGTGTTCCACGAGATAACGTCCCTACCCTGCATCCTGTCCCACAGCCTCCTGGCCTTGTGCAGTGCTCCATTCACGGCATAACCGGTAAGCATGGTGGTATAGGCCACGGCGTTCCTGTCCGGCATCCCCATGAACAGCCGCGTAGCGTCGTGCATGAGGTTGTTCTCCACGTAAACTTTGAGCATGAGCGAGTGCGTGTAGTCGTTCCTGTCCTTGATCCGGTCGAAAACCCATCTGGCTTCGACGACGCTGCCACACTTGCCATACATTTCGATGAGCAAATTGCTGAGGAACCTGCTGCCGCGGTACACGGATTCCCGGATGCAGGCGTGCACTCGCCGCCCTTCCTGCAGGTCCTTTGCATCTCCGCAGGCCTTGACGAGGCATATGAAGTTGTTTCTTTCGTTGCTCGCTTCCGCCAAGTTCTCCACCTCGGGCTGGAGATCAAGGTTTCTCGGAGCTGATTTGTCAAAATGCCATTTAGGTGGGTGGCGGATTTTCACCATGGCTCTAAATTAACACCAGATACGAATGTTAGAAAACATAGAAGATTGCCAAATCTTAAACCGGAATCTTAGCAGCTGGAATGCTTGAAGAACTCGCAGGCAGACACCAACTCGGCCGTTGTCCCCTTCTCATTCGCGGAGTGGCCGGCGTTTGAAATAACCTGATAGAAGAAGGGAAATATGAGAAAGACATTATCTATGCTTGGGCAGTGAAACTTACTTTGAAGTTGGCTTCCGGCCATGCTTTGTGTAAGTCCCAGGCTGACATCATAGGACAAATTACATCATATCGACCCTGATTGAGAAAAGAAAATGTCGCGACCAAACGTATGGATACTTCAAAACTCACCTGCACGATGACCGCTGGAATATGGCGTATTCTGTCAACATTGTCCAGCAGAAACGAATCCGACGGAAAGAAGCCCTTATTTACAAAATAATGGTTTTCGATTCGAGCAAATGCCTGTTAAAAAACAAGCAGCGGAGTAAATGACACCATATACAGTAGTAGTTCTTGCTTACCAGAGAAAATCGATCATCTTCCCCTCTTTTCAGGGAATCCTCATTTGGAAGAAGATATGAGGTCGCTAATTCCCAGTTCGTCCAAGCTTTTGACGCTGCCAACTGCACTACCATTGAGTCACAAATCTTGTGCATTCATTTGTATGATACCTGGACGTTTATATTATCATCGTTAAGTCTCCTATGGTAAGCACCGACGAAGTCATTGCGTTCCTCCTCAGGTATGAAGTCACGATAAGCCTCCCAAGCTAGATATTCCTTACCACAATAGGAACAATCTGTCACCAGCGAACTTTACACAATAGACACGTAGTTACCATCCGGAAAAATGGCAGAGCATCCGTATTGGTAAAACCAGTCGATTTCTTTCTTCCTGAGCATGAAAATACCTCTTAAGACTATTCCTGCAACCTGTAGGAAGTCCTCGTGTAGGAAGACTGAGATACGTTCGTAAACATACCTGTTCTGGATGAGATTCACTGTATGCCAAAGCTAAAGTGCTTCCCCACGAACCTCCAAAGACCTGAAAAATGTAGATGAAGAACAGTGGATATATCTCGCACGAGCACTAACCAGCCATTTATCGATTGCCAGATGCTTTCGTAGCTTTTCAATATCTTTCACGAGATCCCAGGTAGTGTTCTCGTCTAAACAAGCATGCGGCAAGCTTTTCCCAGCACCACGCTGTTCTCCACAAAGCAAGACCAAAGCGTTTCTAGCTTTCAGTAGAAAGACAATGATCACACACACCTGATCGAAAAGAATGATTCGATAGAACTCTGGATCGAAAAATCTCCTGTTGCCACCGCTAGTTCCAGCGCCAGGGCCACCGTGAAGAAAGACGACAGGCTAGAAATCCAGTACGTGAGAATCTAAAATCCTCGAATGGAGAGAAGCCAGCTTACCTGACCATCAGAATTCCCGCTTTCTTCCCAGTATATGGAGTGAAGCTCCGAAACCTCAAGATGACCAGTGGCATAGGGCTGGATTGCCGGATACAGTGCCGTCCGCGAAGATGCTTCGATGGAATCGACCGGGACGTCCATCTTGGATGCGATTCCTGCGCAGTAACGCATTCCAAAGAACCCTAGATAAAGAAATCCCCGATTTCCAGCGTGGATCGACACAATACCTGAGGCGCGCAGCGTGAATCCGCGAAGAACAGGGGACTGGGATCGGCCGGGAATGCTCTGGAGCCTCGCTCCCTGGCTAGACGGCGATGGCGAGGACGATGGCGCTGTGAAGCAATGGCGAAATACCAATTGCAAAGAAGCCATCGATATGATCTAAGACTTCTCTAAAGAACCAAGTTAAACTAATCACTCTTACAATACAAGCCGTCTTACCAAAATTTAGTTTTGTTTGGTCTATAGCTTACTTCTTTCTTCTTCGTTTTCTTGGTCGATCATCTTCGTCCCTCGAGTGAGCATGATCCAGCCTACGCTCAACACGAATACTGGGAAACGCATCTTGGAGGGCTCCAAAGAATCTTTTCCATCCCACGTAAACACCCTCGATCACCATCGCAGTGATATCCCTCGGGACTTCATCGACCGAGCCCTGAGCGATCCTGAAACATTCCAAATAGTCGTCCCTGTCCACGAAGTCGGGAGCCTTTCGCCAGCTTCCTCCAGCCTTGTCGACCAGAAGAACATTGGGAGAGACCATCGTCACGCTCTGCAAGATGTGTGCCAGCATGATCCTTCCAGTTCTCCCGTTTCCATCCACAAAAGGATGGATGCTCTCGTACTGGAAGAAGAACCTCCCGCCGAGTTTGAGCAGCTTCGTGGTCTTGTCCTGTGATCTGCTGCTGCTGAGAATCCTGCCAAGATCTCTGCTCGTCTTCCTCATGAGACCCCTGAGCGCTGAATCGATTCTCTCGGGTCGCATGAAGAAATGCTTGCCGTCTTTGTTGTCTACGTAGACAATCTCGGACAAGCTCCTGATTCTCCCGGCGATGCTCGGACGAGTGAAGCAAAACATCGACTTGTGAGAGTCGAGAAGCAAACCAATCCCTCCACTGCCGAATTTCTCCTCACCCTGTCCAAAGAACCATGGCACAAGTGCTTGATTCAGGCCCCAGACGTTCTTGATCCGCTCGTCACAGTCGTCGTGCATCTCCATCTCCAGGACTCCATCCTTGTGGATTGCCTGTTGGGTCTCCTCCAAGGTATCAAACCCTTCGCCCTCGATCTTGTTCACTTGAAAGAGCCATTCTGTGGTGGCTCCAGGTGAGTAGCGCCTTGCCGCCCAATCCTTTTCTGGAGCTCCTAGATTCTCATACCTTGAGCGCATTCCTGAAATCTCTTCCACCATAGCGCTGGTGCTCATTCCCTTGCGCCGCCAAAAAGGGTTCTCGCGATACTCCTCCATTAGCAAACCCAATGCTTTTGCCCTAATTTGCCAAGCTTTAAAGTCCCAAAAAGAGCATATTCGAGAATTCTCTTAGCATATTCTTGTCTTTCGTTTAGGGCAAAACAGAGAACTTGGCTGTTCTAAAGTGCTCCAGCTTGCCTTGCGCGGAGAATTTCCACGAGATCTTCCTCACCTCGCGCTCGCTCACCACCCAATGCGCCGCGCAGGAGAATTCCTCTCCCAATTTCACCTTCTCTGGAACGCATGCGGTGAATCCATAGGGCATATGGATCAGCGTGCTGTGTTCTCTGTCTTCGTCGCAATCTGGCTTGAATCCTCTCCAGATCGCTGGTTTTCTCGTCGCCAGGACCAAACCGGTGGGATAGAGCGTCGTCTCCTCTCCTACGAATTCCCCTGCTGGTTCCTCTCGCTCGGATTCCAGAGCCACTGTCGCAAGATCGTGATTCCAGACGCTCCCACGCCACGAATCCTCCGGGCGATCGTCCGTGTCCCGGCTCTCCTCGAGGATTTGGGACGCTGAGAGCGATCCGTCGGTGTTGTAGCTGACGATGATCGCTACCCTCGCATTCTTGCCTGCAAAGAACAGAGAATCTCTAGAGAAAAGAAAAGAGGGCATGGATGGACGATTCGCTCACCTGGAAGCATGAAGAACACCTCGCCGACCACTGGGCGCTGAGGGAAATCGATGTCCAGCCCCAGCCAGGCAAGATCGCCATTGGGAAAGACCAGCGTCCTGGAATTTGGGACCGCGGGGTGGATGATCCCGTCCGCGCCGCAGTGCTCTTGCCGATTGATCAGCCACGATTTGGGCGTCATCTTCCTCTCGGAAGCTCCGGCCGGATCATACCAATCGTTCCTGTGGAACACAACCGAGCCATCTGCGGCGCGAGATTGGAATGACCTGATGCTGCGGTACGTCCTGGCGATCTCTAGCGAGTCGCTCACCCGCCAGTTGATCCAGATGCCGTGCCAATGCTGCCAGTGAAATTCGCCAAACCAGCGCCATAGATCTTCCGGATTGAGCTTGCGCGGTTCTTCCGCCATAGCTAGAAATAAAGATTTGACTTCCTGGCAGGATTCGAACCTCACCAATACGAAGTATTCATCACTGGCAGGATTCGAACCCTCGACAGTGATAGGGCATTTTAGGTTTCTTGGTTTGGGCGGGAGCGATGGTGATGGAGGCGATGGAGGCGATGGAGGCGATGGAGGCGGCGGAGGTCGTGGCGAGATATGTTCTCCATGCCTCCGGCACAGGTAGGGCTGCGTGGAGAACCACGGCAAGGTATGATCGATCTATTGCGCTTGCCATCTCTTATTTTCGTTGATTGATTCCCAGTTGCTGAGGCATTTCGTTCACAAGGAGGATTATGAAAGAAGGCGCCCGATGAAGCGTGACCCGGATCACGAAGCACAGATTTACATCGTCACTTTCTTGGTCCTTAGCCTCTCGTAAGTTTCTTCCTTTTCTTCCTCTTGTCTAGAATTTAAGGCCTTCTCTCAGGACCTCTGGCGTGGAGATTATCAAGTGTTGCAGTGGGTCTAACCAAGCGTGCGCCTTTCTAGCATTTTCGCTTCGACAAACAGTGGCGATTATTTTCGGTGGTGGTGGCGGGGAGCGCGTGGAGGTGGACTATGAAACAGGAGAACACACTTCTTATGGGCGACTGGTATCCTTTTATCGCGCATTCAGGTCCTGTTTGGAGGAGCCATTTCCTCTCACGGTTGGGATGCTGAGAAAATGGCATCGAGCTTTGGTTCCAGCCGGGGGAAACTTTCGTACCACAGACGTTTATGTCGGCTCCAGGGACTCGTGGCGTCCGTGTTTTCAACTTGAGGAGAGACTGGCTGTTGTAGTCGACGAGCTCGAAAGAAGCATCCATGCTGCTGGTGGACGAGAGAGCTTAATCATCACAGCTGCTGGACGGTTCTTCTACGATTTCGAGATGATACACCCGTTTGCAGATGCAAATGGTAGAGTCGGGCAGCTATGTTTGTATTTTTACTCTCCGCCAGGTAAATGTTCCCTTTCATTGGCACTAAAGGACTTTCGTTTTATCCCAGGTAATGCAGTTGCCAACGTTTCTATGGACATCAGTGGATGGCAATTCCTTGGACCGAGATGGCTTGAATGCCTGCCTCGAAGGACCTGATGCCTCGGTGTTGATCGCAGCCATTCAGGCTGGGATTGAGTACGGAAGACACAGGGGGGTACGTAGGCTTTGCTGCATTAACCTTTTCTTTCTAGCTTTATAATCTTTGTTTGTTCAGCTGGACAAGATGCCATTGCGCTTAAACGACGAAGAAACAGCGATGTACAACAGGACGCTGCAGTATGGCCACGCTTACGCCAAGGCGATTCGATGAAGGCTTCTTGACTGGTAAGCTTTCTTTTCTATTGTCTTGTGTTTTGATTTCTTTTTAATCCTCAGAGAACACCATCCGCGATATCCTTCTCGAATTCTATTAAATCTATTGTTAGGTCAAGAGGAGCAATGCCGCGAAGAATGTGAGTATCTCACCACATGATCCCCTCTCGCCAAAATGTTAAGCTTGGTTTCTTCTGCTTCTTACACCGCCACAAATCCTTCTCACTGAGAAGAACCACCCAAAGAGACGACGAAAAGAATGTTTTGCTTGGAGCGCTCAAGTCGTGTAGCTTCTCGGGAGACCTGGAAAGAGGTAAAAAACTCCACTTGGAAGCGATCGAGAGAGAGCTCCATACCGACGTCTATATCGCAACCTCGCTTGTTCATATGTACGCCAAGTGCGGCAGCATGGCGGAAGCTTGGCAAGTCTTCCAGAGCATCAGCAATCCAACGATCGTCTCCTGGAACGCTTTGATCCTGGGATGCGTCGAGAACGAGCAGTGCTCGCTCGCTCTCGAGATCTTCTCTCAAACGAGGGCTCCAAACTCTGGAACTTTCACAGCTGCTGTCATGGCTTGCTCGGGCTTGGCCGAGAGAGAAGAATGGCAGGAGCTGGATCGTTGTCTCGTCAAGATCAAGAGCCTGGAACAGGGAATGGTGATCCATTCTAGGAAACAATCGGCAGGCCTACCGGAGAGCTTGTTTGTGGAGAATTCTTTGATCGATATGTACTCGAAGTGTGGATGTTTGCTGGATGCCCGGATGGTTTTTGACAGGATGAAGTTCCACGACGTCGTGTCGTGGAATTCCCTGCTGCTGGGATACGTCGAGAATGGATTTTGCGTGTTGGCCCTGGAGTTGTTCTCGCGGATGGAAACTTCGGGCTTGAGACCCGACCCGAGAACGTTTGTAGCAGCACTTATAGCCTGCGCTCCAGAAGAGAGTACTATCAGCAAAGAAGAAGAAGAGAACAGTGAAAGAAAAAGAGATGGACTTACAACCTGCCTGGAGAAGACGATGGCTCTTCACTCCCAGGCAGCAGCAGCTGGTTTAGTCGAATCCCAGATTTTTGTGGCCAACACGCTGGTCGATCTGTATGGAAAGTGTGGAAGCTCAGTGGATGCTCGCAAGGTGTTCGATAGAATGGCTCACCACAGCACTGTTTCGTGGAACGCTGTTCTCTTGGGATACGTCGAGTGTGGAGAGAGCGAGCTAGCTATGGAAGTGTTCTTGGCGATGGAAGAAATCAAAGATAGAGGAGGAGTAACACCAAACACTAGAACTTATCTCGCGGCACTGAAAGCATGTGCGGGGATCGCAGACAAAGAGGAAGAGCATGAAAAGAAAATGATGGAAGAACACGAAGAAGTTGACGAAGAGTTACGCAAGAACATCAAGAACGAAGAACTTGACGTAAACTTGGGACGAGGAGGAAGAGCAGCGAAGCTAAAATCTCTCAAGAGAGCACTCTGGATCCACCATCGCTTACCTCGAGGAAGTAGTGATATCTTCATCGAGAACACGCTGATCGAGCTATACTCCAACTGTGGCTCCCTCTTGGACGCTCGGAGAGTCTTCGATTCCATGCCTCTCCACAACCTCGTCTCCTGGAACGCGATGGTGGTGGCATGCGTCGAGAATGGCGAGCCGGAGATGGGAATGGATCTCCTCGATTCTATCCGAGATCGAGAGCTTCTCCCGGACGCCCAAATCCTGGTCTCCACGCTCGCGGCCACGACCAGCCTCGATCTCTCGCTAGAAAATGGGACGATCCAAATGCCCTCTCTGGGCAAATGCTGCAAGCGCCGGATCCACGCCCTTGCCTGCCGCTGGGGGCTCGAGACAAATCAACTCCTGGCCAGCAGCGCGATCGACCTCTACGCCAAGTCCGGTGGATCCATGCCCGCCGCGCAGCACATCTTCGATTCCTCGCCATCGCCCTCCGCCAGGGCCTGCTGGAACGCCCTCCTGGCGGGCTACTCGATCCACGGCAACTGCGATCGGGTGCTCGATCTCTTCGCCCAGATGCGCAGAGAAGCCACCGATCCCGACGCGATCACGCTGCTGGCGATCCTGGCGGCGTGCAGCCGCGGCGGAATGCCCGATCTGGCGAGGAGAATCCTGGCAGCCATGCCGGAGAGGCATGGGATCTCGCCCAGCGCGCGGCACTACGCCTGTGTGGCGGACGCGCTGGCGAGGGCGGGGCGCGGCGGAGAGGCGGTGGAGGTGGTGGCGGGGATGCCCGTGGCGGCGGATGGGGCGTGCTGGATGGCGGTGCTGGGGTCGTGTCGGCGGTGGAGGAATGTGGCAGCGGCGGAGAAGGCGTTCCAGGAGCTGCTCAAGATCGACGAGAGCAAGCCCGCCGCCTATCTGCTCATGGCGAACACTTACTGCTACTACTGAAGAGCCCTAAATATAAGCGAAGCTTTTACAAAAACGAATATCCTTTAAGGGAAAAATAATTTCCGGTTTAAAACATTACTAAGAGAATATCCTATAACGGCTAGAGAATATGCTTCCAAATACGAAAAACTTAACCAATGGTTTAGATTGTTTTATTTCGAGCCAACAAGAATTTATACACAAGAACAAGATCAGAAGTTGCATCTATCCTCGCTCCCATCGTACAAATCGTCGTGGATCTCGTCCTCGAAACCATCATCTTGCCGATGATGCTCATAATAATCTCTCGACGAATCCTCCTCCTCTCCCTGCCCACACGGATCGTTCCCAGCAGCGATCTTCTCACCTTCCTGGGGAGTACTGCTCTCTTCGTATCGCTCTTCTTCTTGCTCGAGCGCAGCGTCGTCACGATGATCTTCTTCTCTCCACAAATCCTCAGCGTAAAGCTCCTCTCCCTGTCCTTGTTGGTCACTCTCGGCCACGAGCTCCTCGTCCTCGTCCTCGTCGATGGCCTCCATTGGAGTGTAGTTCTTGTATTGTGCAAGCTCTTGCTCGAGGGCGGCAGCGTCTTGCTCGGCCTCCATGGCTGCGGCTGCCGTGTCCGGATCCACGTCCGTGAACTGGAACTTCACTCTCTCTGCCATGACGCACATCGGACAGGGCGCAGCTCTCTGTAGCCGGGACTCCAAAAGCCTCTGCTGCAAAGTTGCCATCTCCGTGGCGTGCCGCCGCTTGAGTTTCTCCATCTCCCTGTACATTCTATCTGCGTCTTGCTCCGCCAGTGCCGCAGCGTCCTAAACCAAACAACAAAAAGGTTTGTCAGCTGGCAAACAATCGAAAGAGCTTTCAGGCTTACGTTCGCGATCGCGGCGGCCTCCTCCGCTTCTTTCAAACGGACAAGCAGCTCCCCAGCAGCTTGTACGGCCTCGGCGGTGTCACGCAGCTGCGACTGGAGGAACTCAATCTCCTCGTTCGCGGCTTCTCGCTCCTGCTCACGCTCGAGATTCAACGCGACTATCTGAGCTGCCTGCGACTCGAGCCACTTCAGCTGTGACGAGCTTGCCCCTGCTCGCATGGCCATCTGCCTCACGTCCGTTACTCCCTCGCGGATCCTCCGTTGCTTTGCTACGAGCGCTACATGCTTCTCTTGGAGCTCTGCATACTGCTCCAGCAGCCGGGCATGACCTGTCATTGCTACTTCCAATGCGTCCTGCAGCTCCTCGACTTCACGACGTCGTGCTTGATTGTCATCCGCCTTGTCCGGATCTCTCTGTTGCGCCAATGCAAAGTACTCTGGCATCTGCTCGTCATGCTTTTCGGGAGTCGCGTTGTGATCGTTTTCTCTGCTGTCGTCGACAGTGTTTTCTTTGATGCTCTCGACAGAATTTTCTCTGCCCTCGACAGCATTCTCGTCAATCTCCATTTCTTCATCCGAATCCGAATCCACCGTTGCTGGCACCGTCATTGGAAGCGCTAGACTTAGTCTCAAGAGGTTGTAGCTCCTACGGGCGTTGCATGCGCTGGAATAAGGACCGTCAACTCCTTGTTGCTTTTCCTTGGATTTCATGCGCTTTAACTCATCCTGTGGCAGCCAGAGGCAAAACGTTCGGAAACTAAGTCAGCTAGGATTAAGTATCATTACCTTAAGTTGACGTATTTGCTCCCTCAGCAAGTTAGAGTCGGAGGTAGTTTCCTCGTTGACAACCGCCTTGTTCTGTATAGCCTTCGCTCGTTGAGCAAATCTCAAGGTACTAGTTGACTCGCTTTTGCAGCTGCATCACGGAAGAAAAGACCATCCACAAAGAACGATTCATACAGGAAATTTACCTGTCGGCTGGGGATACTGCACATATCATTGCCAGTTTGGCATTGCCACCAAGGGACTCTTGCAAGAGAAATGTAAGCCGGGAGTCCCGATATGGTACATGGCGTTGCTTTCCTGATTGAGCAATTTCTGCCAGTATGTTGATCACGTTTCTGTACAAAATGTCAGTTTATGTACCAGCGACTTAAAACTACATACCCAAGCTGTGAGAGAGATTTGTTTATGTTGCCAGCTTCTTTCAAACGTTCACCTGCAGCACCACTTTGTTTTTGTCTCTCCGATCCAGCAAGATCCACCAAATTAATGCGGCTTCTTCGAACGCTGCTCATACCGTCCGCCAACGTCTGCTCCAAACCATGACTATTAGTGAGAAATCTTTACCATCCACTCACCTTGTACCGGCATTCTAGCACACAAGTGAATACGGTGTGTGACCGAGAGCTTTCCGTGTTCAGAGAAGTTGCACCTATTCTACGGTTTCCTAGCCCTTTAAGAAGAAGCCGGGAGACATCATCCATGTTCGACACGTATTCCTCGGTAAGGTTGTCAACATAGACGCCAGTTTTTACATCTTCCCGAACCTGTATGCCACAAATAAACCTTGTGGCGAATTCAAAGTCGTGTTACCTGAAGGTTTTTGTGCCTTGGCTCCAAGAGGTCAGCAATTTGTTCGTTATAAATCTGCAACAAGATGTTAGGAGACATGCATTCGTTGTAGATGAAATTTTACCTCGAGAAAGGAGCAGCGGCACTGAAAAAACAGCTGCTTCTCTGCATTTTTTGTCTCCTCCTGTGAAAGAGAGAGTCCTGTCAGATAAAATATAAGAAGTCCGCGAGAAAGAAACCATACCTCTTTTATTCGCGAAAACAATGTCTCAAACACCCGTGGCGTCACTCCCCTCTCGGCGCTAGGAGGCTTTCCACTTGTGGGATCATGGACAACTCCCCACATCGTGTATGTTTTTCCACTCCCTGTCTGCAAGGAAGAAGATGTTTCAATACAATGTCACATGCATGCGAGGTAAATACCTGTCCATAAGCAAAAATCGAACTGTTAAATCCAGCCAAACAATTTTCCACCATTGGCAATCCAACCAGCTTAAACATCTCCTCCTGCAAACGGAGATCAAAGCTTTAGCAAATAAAACTAAAATCATCCATTCACATATACCTGAGTAGAATCCTCATCAGCAACAGCATCGAAAGTGTAATGCTGGTCGCAAATCGAGAGAGAGTTCGTGGATGCCTTGCTGATAATAGCGCTAGATTGCTCCAGCAGCTCCTTCTTGTTGAATGGCCTCACTCTAACGAGAACCTGGCATAACGCAACAAAAAGAGGGGAAGTTAAAACCTCTGGAATTTCTTACACTGACCAGCTTACCGAGACTCCAGTGTCGCTGGATTTCTCGCTGTCCGCCGGTTGCTCGGAATTCTGCTGCTCCCACAGTAGCTTGCGCTTTGGAATTTTGCTCGCGGACGAAGGGGGCCGGGGCGGAAGCCCGGGGCTGGAATGCAATGGCGTGAAATTCCCCTTGACTGCTGCCTTGACGCCGGATTTGCAATGCAGGGGAGACTCACCGCAGAGATTACTCCCTCCCCGCCCCGGCGTCGTGTTTGGGGGCACATTCTCAGCATTTCTCTTGATCTTGTGCTTGACCGGCGAGCTTCTTGCTTGAAACGCCATCGCAATCTATACGATCGATCGCCCGCTGGATCCTCTCTCGCAATCCCTACAAATCTACCAGGCGCCTCCTCCCATACCTAGAAGATCCTCCCACGCGCTCGGCAAAACCCTAAAGAAGCACACCCAGAGAGAAAAAACACTGCCCCTCTCAAAAACGCCTAGTGACCGTTGAAGGCCATGTCAGATATCCACGTGGCAACCAGCATATTCCGACAGCCTAAACATCTTGGTTAATTGAAACTCAAGAACCCTAAAACAGGTTACCTTTAACATAAGAACCCTAAAACCGGTTAAAAATGAAGAGCCCTAAAATCTTATTAACTTCCAAAAGTTGATGTTATTCTTTCGCAAAGTTTTCTTAGCCATTTTTGCTAGTAGCTTCTTCCTCGTCCAGTAGGATCTGCTTACACGCCTCGTAGCACATGAAAGAAATCCCGGCGGCGGGGACGAGCTTGATGCAGCTTGCACCGATTCCACGGTAGAGTCCGGCGACGCCTTGCTTCTCCACGATCCCGCTCAAGGCATGGAAGAGATGGCGATAGACCTGTCGCCCATTTAGAGCTCCCACTTGCATTTGCTTCCTCGCCACCTCCAGGGGATACGTAGCGCTGCTCGAGATCACTCCAGCGGCGGAACCGATCAAGAGCGTTGCCAGATGCCCCACTCGATCCTCCTTTGCCAACCTCCGGTAGCCTTTCTTGAGAGATTCGTAGGCCAGGTAGTTTATCCCGCAGTAAGGGATGATGCCGATGACGCTGGGAACCAGGCCGCGGTAGAGCTCCAGGGGCCCTTCGTCCTGGACGATCTTCAGGAAGGCGTGCAAGAGATTGTCGTAGACGCCCCTCTGCGAAGGATTGGCGAGCTCTTTTAATCCATTCCATCGGCAAGATGAGAAGAGAACTGTGCTGGTACCTGGACTGTGAGTCGCGTTTTCAAGAGCTCCAGGGGGTAAGTTAGGACTGTGGAGCACACTCCAGCGGCAGCACCAGCGATTGTGGGAACTGGAAGTGGAAAGGAGATCCTCGGGGCTTCTCCTTCTTTCGGTTGCAAGACCTTCTTCACAGTGTCGTAAGCAAACAACTGCGAAGGAAAACCAAACCAGTGAGCCTTCAAAGTCGCAAGAAAATGTTATCTAAGTTTCAGTCACAATCCTCGAACTATACCTTATCTCAGTTTCAACTCTAAAGCAAACCAACGAGCTAAAGTTCACTCACAGTCAAACTATCCATCTAGCTCGATCGGAAAACAATAGAAACACTCTCCATCTAGCGCTTCATGAGAAGGACTCAAAGAAAAAACTGAACCTCGATAGCTTTTCTAGTTTATCTCAGTCCCAACTCTACACCGAAGCTAAAGTTCACTCACTCACAATCAGACTATCCATCTAGCTCAATCAAACAATGATCTCTCAAGAACTCTCCATCTAACTCTACACAAGGACTCGAAGGAAAAACTGAAGAGAAGAAGCCTACCTCGATAGCTTTGCTAGGAGTGACGCGGATGACATTGATCCCGTTGCCTCGAAACAATCCTTGCCAGCCTTCGTGCTGCATGATATGGACGAACACAGCACCGACGGAGTTCCCAGCATTTCCAACCATCAAATGCGTCCGGATCGTCTCAAGTGGTGCCACAGCAGTTCGAGACACTGCTCCTGCAAACGCACCACTGAGCAACCGTCTCAAAGATGGATTCTTAACCTTCACCTTCTTGAGTCTAAAGAGCTCCTGCCACCAAAGAAAAAAAATCTTCCCCCCCTCTTCCTCCCTCCTTTTCCCTGCTACCTTCTCACTCTCCTCTCCGATCATCAATTCCTCCTTCAAATCCTCGATCGGCGGCCACAGCGCTTGCTGGAGGCTCGAGGCCCGACTCTTCGGCCACGTCGCCTCTATGAGCTTGTGCTGCTCCGAGCAGATCAGCGCCGGCAGCGCCGCGATCGAGGAGCAATCGGCCAGGCTCTGGGACGCCTTCTTCACCGCTACCTGCATCGCATCGATGGATTGTGCCTTGAGCAATCCCCTCGACATTTCTATCGCTGCTAATCGCTCAATCGATCAATCGTCCCCCCTCCTCACCTAAGAGTCAACGAAATCCCGCTACTAATCTGGACTAGAAACCCTGCCCGGACTGTAGACGCATTCTTTTCTCCGCTGTTCGTCCAGATCATCGCCGCCGCGAATGCGATGGAAGAAGAAGAAGAACTAACCGGATGAGAGATTGGAGCCGAGCACTCGAGCACCACGAAAGCATCGCCCCAGCGCCATGAAATTAGGGCTCTGGGGCCCGGCGGATATAAAGCAGCTACTCACACAGCCTCACATTAACACTTGGTAAGCCACGTGGCAGAATATACACCATATCTCGTCTTATTCAAAGAATCTGGCGTTTAGGGGTTAGGGTTTAGGTTTTGAGCTTTTCACTTTTCTTTTGGTCTTTTGGCGCCCAGTCATAAGATCGCTTGTGGAATGGAAAATTCATTCATTCATTTATATACTATTCACAAGGTCTCTCACAGTGCCCCCCAAAAAACATGAAGACCGACCGATTCAAATGTTCCGTGGTGACAAAAATGTGATCATAGAGCTTGATTTACAAATTACATAATTACACAAATACTCACCAATGTTAATAGTAAGGGAGCATCGGTGTCCCTGTGAGAAAGAGCCTCCTGAAAGCTGGCATTTGGTGACTTTCTCTAAAAGGACTTAGAAACAATAGGCTATAAAACATCCAGATTTCCAAAAAGGAAATGAATTTAAATCACAATATTATAAGTTTATTGTAAGTTAATATGTTGAAATATAAAATTTGTAATATTACTATAATTGATATAAGACTGAGTCAAGTTTATACGCTAAGAAGTCTCTATAGCTCGTTTCCACGATACAACCGATTTGCCGACACGTGTCATTATAAAAGCTATTGTATTGTAGGTTTTAAACAGGAGTGTCACTGAAGAGAGGGATTTTGTGGCGATGGCAGAGGGAGCGAGCAAGAAGATGATGGCGGCCTTGCAGTACTCCAAGTACGGCGAAGGCGCCGCTGGTCTCAAGGTATGATCGAGCTAAATGCCCCAAAATTCTTGGATGATCGAGCCCTGGAAATGTTGCAGCATGTGGAGATCCCAGTCCCGACGCCCAAGAAGGACGAAATTCTGGTCAAGATCGAAGCTGCAGCGATTAATCCCGTGGATTGGAAGCTCCAGAAGGGAATGCTCAAGGTCATCTATTCTATCAAATTTCCATACATACCTTGTAAGCAGGCTTTTTTTCTCTGGAGCTGGAATTGAGGTTCTTGGCTTTTTTTTTTCTTTTTTGTCTTCTTGATCTCTGCAGGCACTGATGTGAGTGGAGAAGTTGTGAGCGTTGGTCCCGGCGTCACTGGATTCTCACAGGGAGACAAAGTTATCTCTTGGCTTGATCTTAAGGTGATTTTCACTTTTTTTTTTTTTCTCTCTCGCTTGAGAGGTTTGTGACACTTAAAACTTTGGTGGTTTTCATAGCGCGGTGGAGGATTTGCACAGTATGCTGTAGCTGGAATAAAATACACGGCCAAGAGGCCATCAGGAGTTTCGGCTGTTGAGGCTGCGGGTTTGCCAGTGGCTGGACTCACTGCGTATCAAAGCCTTCGAGACTCCGGTGGATTGAAGTATGATGGATCTTACAAAGGAAACGTTCTCATCACTGCTGCCTCTGGTGGTGTGGGTACTTACGCTGTTCAAGTGAGTTTTTCTTTTTCTTTCTTTGATTTTTTACTAATGGTTTCTTCTTATCAGCTAGCGAAGCTTGCCGGCGCTCACGTCACTGCAACCTGCGGTACTCGAAACATCGATCTCGTCAGGAGCTTGGGAGCGGACGAAGTTTTGGATTACAAGACACCGGAGGGTGCTGCGTTGAAGAGTCCATCGGGGAAGAAATACGACGTTGTTCTTCAGTGCGCAACTACAATGCCATGGTCCACTTTCCAGCCCGTGCTTTCTTCCAAAGGCAAAGTCATCGATCTAACCCCAACCTTCGGAGTGATGCTCACCAGCGCCTTCAAGTTCCTGACAATGTCCAAGCAAAAGATGGCCATCTTCGTGATGTCAGCAAACGCGAAAGATCTGGGAGAGCTGGCCGAGCTCGTGAACGAGAAGAAGGTGAAGTCGTTGATCGACTCGGAGTTCCCGCTGGACAAGGCCGAGGATGCTTGGGCGAAGAGCATCGAAAGCCATGCCACTGGAAAGATCGTTGTGACAAACAAGGACGAAGCTGCAAGCTACTGACCGGATCTTCATAGCGGTTTGTTTGACGGATCAGTAGTCCATCTACTTGGGGAGGTATGTGAATAGTCAAGAAAGTTTGTATGTCAGGTACTCGGCTTTTGTTTTTCAACGCGTTATTTTGTTTTATATTTTTCATGCTTTCGTGTAACTGTTTGTGCTTTGTTTTTTTGGCAGAGTTTCGTCATGACTGTGGTGGCGCCGTGATTTCGATCTTTGAAGCTTAAGGATTTATTTCTTAAGCTTAAGAGCGATGATCTCCACCTGGCTACGTTTCGTCCTTTCACTGTCTCATCCAAAAGCACGGCACTGGTGCTCGAGAATTCTAGACTCATGAGTGAGCTCAGTCAGGGAAGAGGCAAATGGCCGGGGACGAAGATCGAAATCACGGCAGCTCCATTGTCAAGTCTCCCAGCGAAACTCTCCAAATTCTCGCTTCAAAGTTCGACAGCCTCCACATGCTCTCGGCCACGGCAGGATTTCGGCTATGGATATGGAAGGACTCGATCCAAAACACTCTCCAGCAGCTCCAGCAGCTAGGCAAGAACAACACCTCCAAAGTCAGGCAAGCTTCATGTGAAAACTCTCTAGGAATCGCTGACAGTGAAAACTCGAGCATAAGTTATCTCCAGCAGCTAGGCAAGAACAGCACCTCCAAAGTCAGGCAAGCTCCATCTGAAAACTCTCTAGGAATCTCTGACAGTGAAAACTCGAGCATAAGTTCTCTAGCAGCGAGCTCCTCAGGCCAGGAAATCCCGGACAGTGGCTGCCTCGTGATGCCGCCATTCTCCCCTTACTCGGCCACAGTTCCATGGCACACTGGAACCCGAGCTATTCTTTCGCAGATCTTTCCAAAGTATGGGAACTACTGCGGACCAAACTGGTCGAGCGGTCGACAAAAAGGATCACTGGTTTGGGACGTACCTCCGGTGGACTGGCTGGATTACTGCTGCTTCAAGCACGACGTTGGCTACGACAGCCATAGCCAGGAAGATCTCTACAAGGCCGACTTGGAGCTTTTGGAGTGTTTGCGAAGGATGCCACGAGAGAGGCTAGGGCCACACAATCCGAGTGGATTTGTGCGGGAGTTCTATCGAAGCGTGTGCACTCTGGGTAAGAATGATTTTTTTTTTTTTTCCTGAAGATAGAACCAAAAAAACTATGAATCTTTGTTTTGGAAATCAGGACTGGAGCGGTTTCTGATACCGTACAGAAGGACGATACTGAGGCAGCAGCGTAGAGTCAAGTGATCTCTAGGAAATGGACTTCTAGGATATTCCACGAACAGATTCAGCATATCCTTAGACCCTTACTTTTACTGTTAAGTGCACTCATTTGGTCCCTTTAATAATCATGGTGGACAATGTTTTCTTTTTTGTTATTTCTACCTTTACCTGATGAATACAATAATTTCTTTCAAAATATAATCAGGCATCTCAAACATCAGACAGAGCTCCATCAAAGAATTTGAGAATAGGGTACATATATAATTTGACAACAAGAGGTTAAGTTCGTCATCTCATCTCCTTTTTTTTCTCCATCTATCTGGACAGATTTGTACGGCAGTGGCGATAGACCAGACCAATCACCCGCTAAAAACCATGCAATCCCGAGAAACTGTGTCAAATCCTTCCCAATCACTCGATCCAACAAGTAGAAAACAAAAAGAAAAAAAATTATCAGAGAGACCTTTCCTTTCTTCTCAAGACTTCTAGAATATTCCAAGAAATGGATTCAGCATATCCTCTGAATTTTATAATATAAAAGATTAAGAGCAGACTATATATAAAAAATTGCTATGCCTTGCATGTAGCAACGCTTGGTTTGCTTAATAGTAGTTTTATTATTATTTATTAATCCAATTGATCAAATAAACTTTATAATTATAAGTATGTTTGTAATTTATAAACACAAGATTAATCTTATTTCTAGATGAAAGAATAAAAAAGAATATACTAGAAAGGGTTTAAGAAAGTTTATAAATTATAAACATGTTTATAAATTATAAATACAAGATTAATCTAAATAAATAACAACCGTTAGATGGTAGAATATCCTAGAATATTCAAGCATATTCTAGGTATATCCATTACCATTGCAGTCCTTTTATAGGTTTGCTTAAGCAAACCAAAAAGAGCCCAACCTCCAGCAGCTCTCTAGCAGCAACATCTAAAACTGTTTATGCTTGCAAATAAGTTTTACCACAAACTTTGTATACTGTTTGAACAATGAACAGTAACTTTCTAAGTGTTATGTTTCACTCTCTCTACTAAGGCCTAATGGATCAAAGGAGTTACACCTCAAAGGTATATTACTAATGGATAATTATTATTTACAAAACCATCCAGGAACTTCTAACCATTTCCTGGCATTCCCTAACCAAAGAGATGTTATGAGCTATCAGCTTTCCAACTTGACACATCCAAGAACACAACTTATGCTTTGAAATTTTGAGAAAGCACTAGTCAACTACATGGAGTGAGGCAAACTCAAAAGGGGTGGCAAGTTTTGGAATTTAGTTGCCAAGAGAGGAAATCTGGAAGAGAAGTGTTAAACCTCAGACTTTGTCAACAGCCTAGCATTTGCTGGGCAATTTCTAGTGTAAGATGATGTTCTAAAGTTCTAAATCTTTTTTCCAGACATCTCAAACATCGGTGTTCTATCAAAGAATTTGAGAATAGTGTATATATAATTTGACAACAATAAAACAAGAGGTAAGTTCGTCATCTCATCTCTCTGGACAGATTTGCACGGCAGTGGCGTTAGACCGGAGAGCACCACCTCGGACACACACTTCACTCCGCTAAAAACCACGCGATCCCCAGAAACTGTGTGTCAAATCCTCCCATCGCTCGATCCAAGAAGTAGGAAACAAAGAAAAAAATTATCCGAGAGATCTCACTGCTTGGTCGTGGCCTCCGCCGCCGCCGCCGCCGCCGCCGCGGCAGTCCTCTTGCTTTTCTTCGAAGAACCGCCGCCACCACCATTACCTCCCCCGCCGCCGCCACCCCCGCCGCCGCCACTGGCGGACGATTTGGAGGACTTGGCCTTGGGCGGCTTGGAATCGTCGTCGCTGGCGGTGGCGGGAGTGGCGAAATTGGTGACGGCATTGGCGCCCCTCATGGATCGGTTGGCGTTGTCGTAGGCCTCGGCGGCCTCCTCGGCGGTGTCGAAGGTGCCCAGCCAGATCCGGCGCTTCTTCCATGGATCCCTAATCTCCGCCGCGAACTTACCCCATGGCCGCTTGCGAACGCCCCGGAAGTGGCACGACGAGGATTCGTTCTTGCTGCTATGGCTGCTGCTGCCACCTCCAACTCCGCCACCGCCAGCGCCCCCCTTGCTCTTCTTGCTCTCGCCATGATCCATGACTAGCTGCTACCACTACCGATCACACGCGATGCTAGCGCCCCTGCTGTGGCTCCCCCATGGCTCCTCATCAATCAAACGCTTGGCGGCGATCGTGGCGGCGGCGGCAGTGGAGAGGAGGAGGAAGAGGGCGGGCTCCGAGACTCGGCTCTCATCCAACGCTGCTTTGCCGCCGCCCTAGAATGCACCATGGAACATTCCGTTAGCGTTTCAAAAATAATATTCCGTTGTTCTATTAGCTTCCATACCTTTTTTAATGTTTTAAATGAGCATAGTTTTCACTTGTTGCCACGTGTACCCTAAAATAACATCTTCTGCCACGTATGCCCTAAATCCATCATGTTGCCACGTGTGCCCTAATTTCTATCTATATACACTCTTTTAGGGTTGTTTTGGAGGAGGGAGTGAGATGGGCCGACTAGCGGAAGAGGGCATCAAGCAGTTTGGCGTGAGCGCCTTTGGCGAGGCTACAAAGCCGGAGTTGCTGGGAGCCATCTGCCTCGGTCTTCGGATCCCGCACGCCGTGGTCTTCTGCAACACTGAATCAGCGGTAAGTCTTTGGGTTCTTTGTTCTGTCATTTGAAATGGGAGCTGATTCTCCACCAGTGCAAATTTCTGGCCACACGATTGCGCCGAGAGAACTTGAGCGCTCTCGTTCTCCCTGGCATGCCTCCCGACGAGCGAGCAGACGCTATTGACCAATTTGTGAGCTACGACGTCAATATTTTGGTCACAACGGGTGCTTGGCCACAGGATTTACCCGTGGAAAGTGTAAGCTCCTTCCTTTTCCTTTTCCTTTCCCTTTCTTCTCTTCTTACATGGCTTCCCACCAGGCGGAAGTGGTCTACATGTACGACTTTCCTGAGAGCAGCGACTCCTACGTGAAGCAGATTGGGGAGTGCGACAAACCTGGCGTCCGAGAGGTACTCTCTTTCCGAATTCTCTTCCAATCGGCTTCCAAGTGGTTCTTGGGAACAGGCTTTGGTGATCACGTTTGTTCGAGATTTCCAAGACTCATGGCGGGAGCGTCTCGAGGCCGAGTGCTGCACCCGTATTGAGCCTCTCCCTGAGCACATCACCGGCCTCTACCGCCGCTGCTTCCCTATTGTGGTGACCCCTGCGGCCTGGAACTCCATTCAAAAGCTGGCCAAAAAACACGGTTTGCTGTAGAGGGTAGCGTTGCAAATTGTTACAAGAGCCTAAGTTGTAAGGCAAAGGATGATAAAATGATTTTGCAACTTTGAAGAGGAATTCTGCAATTTCAAACATCTGATTCACTTTCCAATCAAAATCCTTACCACCTTTACCACCCACCCTTTACACCTTTAGCACCTTTACACCCTACCACCTTTAGAGAGAAGGCTTAATTGGCTAATGATAATATAAAAAACACATGTACTCGAGAAAAAGTTCTCATTATATCATATACAGCTCTTTGGTTCTATGTAAGCACCGCCTTCCGGGCTTCTTTTCGCAGCGCATTCGCCCGGATCAAGCTCCCGATCGTGTTCACCGCAAGCTTGATATCATCCAGTGGGTTGCCGGGCACCACCGTCTTGTAGAGATAGCTGTCGAAGGTCATCTTCTGGACGTACTCGTCGGCACAGAGCTCTACAAACGCCTCGCGCGCGGGATTGGATCGATAGAAAACCTTCTGGAGGATGTCGAGGACCTTGTAAGTCGGCCAGTACTTGGTGTCCCACTTCTTGAGGTAGCTCCTCAGATCGGCCTCGTTGATCATCCGGACACCCTTCTCGGATCCCTCCACGATGGCCTCGGCGCACATCCTCCCAGACTTTGCCGCGAAGTAAATCCCCTCGCCCGAGCACTTGGTCACGTAGCCAGCCGCGTCTCCCACCAGCGCTACTCGGTCTCGGACTCTCCTCGGCCTCGGGTGCTCGGGTATCGGGTGAGCTTCCACCCGGATGATCTTCCCCCCGGCAATCTTATCTCTAGCTCTGTGCCTGGTCGCAACCTGATACTTCTTGATGGCTGGCTTGTTGATCACGGTCCCGGTTCCCACAGCGACGTGATCGCATTTTGGAAAGACCCAGCCGTAGAAATCCGGAGAAACGTCGTCGCCCACGTACATCTCGGCCAAGTTCTCGTAGTACACCATCTTGTCGTCGGGGATCTTGATCCTCTCCTGGAAGGCGATGGCGTAGTCGTAGTCGCCAGCGTCTATGTCCTTGGCGACTCGGCTGTTCGCACCGTCGGCTCCAATCACCGCGTCCACTTCCATGGTTGCGGGAACTCCCACAGAGCTTCCCGGCTTGTAGAGATTGTAGTGGAGAACGTAGGGAGCGTTGGCGTCGCTGGGCATTTCCATCCGGAGGAACAGGCCATTGACGAGATTGGCCCCGAAAGAGGCGGCTCTCTCGCGGAGATAAGAATCCAGCACCTCCCTTCTCACCATCCCAATGTATTCGTTCTCGTTGAGGGTCTTCCCCACGTCCACTGCCACATTGGAGGGCGAGATCATCTTCATCTTGGTCACTTTCCTGTCGATGATGTCGAGTGGAAGATCGAATTCCCCCACCATGCACAGTGGAATCGCCCCTCCACACGGCTTGGCATTGTCCATCTTGCGCTCGATGAGGAAGGTCTCGATCCCGTTCTTGGCCAGGGTCTCGGCGGCGCATCCCCCGGCCGGCCCGCCACCAATCACGGCTACGCGGAGCTTGCGATTCCCTAGCTTCTTGCTCCCTGCCGCCGCCAAGATCCGGAGCCCCGGACGGGAATTTCGCGTCAGCGATGGCGTCGACGCCGCCAGGAAGAGCTTCGATCTGCCGGAGAGGCATGCCGCCGAGAGATGCGACGATCTCACGGAAATCTGGCAAGACTGCAGCCGATTACCTGCATTGCCCGCGCCCTGCTCGAGCGATTGCTCGCAGACCCGCCGCGTCGATGGCGTGCCGAGAATTCCTTGAAGCGCCGACGCCATAGCTCGAGCAAAGAGGGCAAAATACTATCCACGCATTTGTATCCGCACATCTAGGGCACACGCGTCACCATCCCGTTCGCAGCAACAAACCCGGATACACGTGGCGGAATACCACTCGCAAGTCATGTGGGCCACGCGGCGCAATCTCAGTCGCCCAATTTGCAATCCCGTGCATGGAGGCAAAGCTTCACGGGATAGATTCCTCCCGCGTTGGCCAAATCCGCGAACCCGCGAGCGCCGTTGGATGGAATATCCCCGTGCCTGACGGCGGCGGCGAGCCGCAAAAGGTGTGGGATCCACGTGTCATTTTCACCAGTCACCAGACGGCGGCCAAGGCGGCGGCCGGCCTCGTGTACCCAGCGAATATCCCGCTCTATCAATCCTGGTGATACTTCTTAGGGCTTTCTCTCTCGTATAGCCGACTCTAGAGCTCCGAGAGATCGTTTAAATGTGTATGGCGGCTGGGGTAGATTGGATAGAACGAGCGCCTATCTTCCTCTTGTTCTAGGCGGCGGCGGCTAGGTGGCGAGGGATCTGTCTCCCGATATATAGTCTAGGAAATCCTCCCTCCTCTTCCACTCTCTCGCGATCTTTCTTTGTTTCCCGGCGAAATTTCCAGCCGATCGATCGATCTCTTGGCTCCTCCTCCTCCACCCTCTCGCGATCTTTCTTTGTTTCCCGGCGAAATTTCGAGTCGATTGATCGATCTGTTCGCGTTCTTGTGAATATTTCGGGGCGGAAAATCTCCATCGGCCGATCGACAATGGCACCTCCTCGTGCCGGCAGCAACGATCGATCATCGTCGCCGGGCGGCGGCGGCGGCGGCGGCGCCGAGCAGCACTTTCGGGGCGTGCGGAAGCGGCCGTGGGGGCGCTACGCGGCGGAGATTAGGGATCCATGGAAGAAGACGCGGGTGTGGCTGGGGACGTTCGACACCGCGGAGCAAGCCGCCAGGGCCTACGACAAGGCCGCATTCTCGCTGCGCGGCGTCAAGGCCAAGACGAATTTCCCGTTCGTCGGCAGCGGCGATCCACAAGAGGAGCGCCAGGATCGCCGCCAGGATCGCCGCCAGGAGGAGGAGGCGGCGGACGAGGAGCATCAGCGGCACCGACACAAGCGGCGGCAGATCGCCGGTGCGAAATCGCCGCCATCGCCGCCGTCCCCAGTGTCGGTCGTGGACGATTCTAGATCCCGCGCCGCCGTGGCGGCGGCGGCGGCGGTGGCGTCCAAGACGATCGTCACGTCTCTCAAGCACTACTTGCTAGCCGCCGCCCAGGACAATCGAGGTGGTCACAGCAGTGTCGGCGACTCCTCTTCCTCCAGCTCCGGATCGTCGAGCTCGGGCACGGAATCGACCGAGGAGGACGATCAAATCTCTTCCTGCCCCAAATGGAACAGTAGGCCCTTCTGGGATCTCAATTTGCATCCATGGGAGCAGCGAGTTCGTGCGTGAGCTCCGCCGGATTTTTTTTTTTGTTCTTCCAGTTCCAGTTTTTCTTTGGCTTGTAAAAAAGGTAAAGCTAAATAGAAAAAACGGATATTCGTAAGGAATATAATGTGGGTTTAAACTGACCCGTTCATTTGAACGGCTGGGATCTGCCATGTAGCCGTGAAAACAGAGGCTAGAGCCCTAAAAGGCTGACCAGTTTTCCCATGCTTGGCCTCGCCTCTGGGTTGCTCTGGAGGCACAGCATTGACATCTGGATCATCCTCCTCGCTTCCATCTCCGGGACGCCTCGAATTCGCGGATCGATCCATCTCTCGATCGCCAATTTCTGTTCAGCGAGCTGGATCATCTCCTCTGGATTGCTTTGGAGCTCCCTCCCAGATGTGATCTCCAGCACAAGAAACCCAAAACCCAGAACATCCATCTTGTCAGTGACACCCTCACAATCCTGTTTGGATATAATCTCCAAATCCTCCTGCGATCCAGTTCCAGAGATAGATTTCCTGCTCCTCCTGATCTTGCAAGAGTAGAATCCAGCCAGCTTTGGGGTGTAATCCTCTGCCACCCACACATTCTCCAGCCTCACACCCAGATGCAAGACCTGGAATCCCAGGACATTCCTGGCATCATGGAGATGATCTAGTGCCAGTGCCAGGCCCTTGATGATCTTCACTCTTTGCTTCCATCCCAGACTCCCATCCAAAACCATGCCTTTGAGGCAGCCTCTCTTCTCCAGTGGCATGACAAGAGCATGCAAGAATGGGCTTGTGCAAAATCCCAGAAGCCTCACAATGTTTGGGTGTGGAGACCACAGTGCTGTCATCCTATCCTTGAAATCCCCCTTGCCACACTCCACAAGAACCTCGCTCCTCCCAAGAACACCCTTGTACACCACAAGCTCTATAAGATCATTTGATCCATCGCTGGAGCTTGGAACTCTCATCCTGGTGACCACCTTGTGGAAGCAGCCTGTGATGAGCTCAATTCCCTTTGGATCAAACTCCATGGGCTGTTCCAATCTGCTCAGCCTTGCTCCCATGGAGGAGGTTTGCGAATCAAGCAAAGCACAGATGGTGGATTGATTGGGGGAAAGGTCGCGAATTCTATCACACGCAAATGGTGGCTCTTTGGATTCTTAGCCATTTGGACTGGTTTGTCCTCTTGCCTGCTCTGTTCTTGTTTGGAGTGGAGAACAATCCAACATTCATTTTCATGGGTGTTTAGCTTTCTTGAGCTCCATGGCTCTAATCTATCTGACCTTTGCTTGTCTGAATCTCCTTGGCCATAGCCAATGAGCTTTAGAAAACTCAAATGGATGTACCATCTCCACAATAATAGCTGTCCACAAACACCAGGCTTTTAAAGAGAGCACCCAGGAAGATCTGCCACTGCCAGTTTTCCCCCTTTTTTTTTTTTTTTTTTTTGAGAGCACAACACAATTGCGATGGATGGTCGCCTGACATTCACATTCATAACGCGAAGTACTCCATACAGAGATTACCTCGCCATAGAAAAGCTAAACAATATACATGATTTGTTTTTTGTTTTCCTTCTGCTGCTTAGCTCATCACTCAAAAAATGATGGTACTGTATACCCAAAAAGAAGAAGAGAAGAAAAAGAATCATACTAAGAAAAACATACGGAAATCGGTATCTTTCTCTCTCTCATATATACCAAGCTCCAATCGAAAGCTGTGATCTTACTCGTCGTCATCAATCACGCGATGAATTCTCCGGTCCTACACTGCCCGACTTCAATCTCCACGTTCCTCTTGTCGGAGTTTATGACTCTACAGCAATGCCTTCTAGGGGCCTGGAACATAACAAGAGAGTCGAGTTGAGAGCTTGTAAGAACTTGGTGATCGTCAAGAGTTCTTACCGTGTGCCAGTTCCCTTCCGTGCGGTCCCTGTAGACCATGATCGAATCGATCCCTCCAGGAGACGCCATCTTCCAGCGGCAATCACCCCTCCTCTTGGTTTCCCGCGCGTACGTGCTGTAACTCCTGCTCGAGTTCTTGTGTCCTACGTTGTCCATGTAAAAGATGGTGGGCGGCTCGCACGGGTTCCGGGAGATCTCCCGCGTGCTAAAAGGGAAGCCACTGTCCTCGGTCCTGCGATACCAACTTATGAACGTCCGAGCCGGGAGTTCCAGCTCCCGGGGTGGCAGGATCCCGCGATAGACTTGGACCGCGTAGCCCCACGAAACCGAGAAGGACCATTTCCTCCACTTGTCGTAGCAGATCGACTGCTGGAGGATCCCCGGCGCGTCGACTTTGATGGATCGCGAGAGGTGCTTGAGCGCCTGGACTTGCGTCATGTTTGGAAAGATGGGGTGGATCACGTCCAAGTGATGGATCGAGATGAGTGGGCTCACTGGGTGTGCCGAGAGCAGTCCGGAGGCGTCGCCATAGATGTCAAACTGGAAGACGAAAGATTGAAAGTTCGAAAGATCGAGTGAGAGAAATTCTATGCTTGGAAGTTGAAGGCAAGCATCAGGCATGATCAGGACAAACCAAACACGCAGTTTTTTCTTGAAACAGCCGAGACGTGTGAGGATTCATCACGTCATGCCGCTCAACCACCAGGGAGAAAGAGATGCGCGTCCAAAAGACGTGAATTGCGAATCCAAACCGACCCGACCAAAATGCCGCACGTCGGCATTTGCTGCAAGAAAGAAGTCCTCCAGCAAATCACCCTCAAAACAGCCCCAGTGCAAAATTCTGACAGCAACCCATCGTCATGACACACGCAAGAAACGCACTCAGCCATGCCAGGAAGAAAAGACATGCGAGGAAAACACACCCAAGCCAAGAACACGGTACTTACCTGATGAAAACCGGGCTCTTTGACGAGAGGAACCCCCAATTCAGCCATACACGCTTGTATCCGATCGTCGCTCCCGAAGAGATATGGATACCTGTGCAAGCATCCGTCCTGCATTCGCTCCAGAGCTCTGGCCAGCGGATAGCTGATCGCGAATCCGCCACCACCGTAGGCCATGTTGTAGGAGAAATGGAGGTTCTGGGTGTGGCTCTCGGAGCTGGATCCAATGTAGTAGTACTTGGTGTGATCATACTTGGAGAGGAGCTTGACGAGGTTCTCCGGGATGAAGATGGTGTCATCGTCGCCCATGACGAACCAATGCACGTCCGGGAGGCCAATCCGGAAGGTCTCGGAGACGATGCGCGAGATTCGAATGGCGGCCCGAGCGCCCATCTTGTTGGTGTAGTTGAATGCCGCGGTGGAGGAGGAGATCCGAAAGGGGGGATAGTCCGTCTTGGACCACTTCCGCCTCACCTTCTTGTCCAGCCACACGAATCCTCGCATCTGCGAGGACTTCCACCATAGCTTGACGTACTCGCGGCGCCGGTCCCAGAGGCGAGACGATGCAGCGATGCCAAACACGATGTTGTAAAGGGTGGTGGCGGTGGTGGTGGTGTGGATCTCTGTTTTGGCGATGGTGGTCGATGGAATCTCGACTTGGGCAGCATCGTGAGGGCCGATCTTGGGGACCACCTTGGCCGGAATCGAAGAAACCAACGCGGAATCAGCTGCACTGGTACTGCTACTAGTACTACCACTCGCTTGACTGGCGGAAGTTCTAGAGCCGGAAGCTTGCTGCAGGGACTTGCGAGGAGAGGTGGAGCTGTAGCGCTGCTTTTCCTGATCCAGATTGAGAGTGAATCGCGAGGATGCGGCGGTGGTGGCATTGCTGCTGCCCAGGAGCGCGAAGTTGTATGGCATGATTCTGGAGGATGTGGTGGATCCGTGCGAGGACGACGGGATGCACGAGGCCATCATGCTTGCGCTGCTGAGGAGGAGGAGGGCGACGTAGAAGAAGCTGCAAGCGCAAGCGGCGCACACAACCAGCGCGAGCTTGCTCATTCCCAGGCCAAGAGCAGAGTGTTCCGACAGCTGCCTCGTCAAGCTCTTCATCTGCTGCTGCTTCTTGTAAGAATCCATGCTCATCGTGTTGCGGTCCTTGTGATTGATCGATCCAGCCCGGCACTAGAAACCTCTTACGAGCTTAGCCACCGATCGATCGTGTCGCCACAACCATAGCCGGGACGAATCCATCTGCCGGTTCCCTGCAGCAGCATTTGCTTTTTATCAGCATTGGATTTCCCGGCGCATTGCTATTCATGAACTCCTCCAGAGCGAGACTACTTCTGCCTGAGCTGCTGCCATTCCCGGCCATAGCATTGCTTCTCTAACACCAGGAGGGAGGAAGGAGAACACATCCTCGTTTTTTCACGCATCCAGTGAGCTCCTAGAATTTAATTCCGAGGCCCACGAACAAATCTCTGTGGAAGAGAGAAAGAACCCAAGAGATCCCAAAGATTTGGGGGTTTCTCAAGGAGAGCGATGGAAGAAAGAAAGAAGAGACCCCACTGCGAAACAGCCTACACTACACTACACAGACAAACACGCGCTTCTTTCACTAAACACCACTTAAGCGCAAATCTAATCGCGCGGGATATTCTGTCGGTCCGCGGTGATGACGCCTCCCGTTAACCACTATCTCTCCGCTTACCTGGCGGTGACGTGGCATCAGGCCTTATGTTTGTTTTTTCTCCAGCGCACTCCCTCTCCCGTCCGTCGCCGCTGCGCACTCCCGCCCGCGGCTATCGCCCGCCCGCTCGCCCTCACGGCTCCCGCCCGCACTCGCACGTCCGCCCGCGCCCAGCGTGCCTAATTACTTCCACGTGGCTACAGCCCCAACACTTAGCCAAATTTCAGTCACCGCGCGCGTGGACGCCTTTCTACTGCTATCATGGATGACCATTAGGAGTATGAAAGCTTCTCATTAATTTAAATATATGTAATGTAAGTATATAAAGAATTTGTTTTTTTATTTATTCTTTGCTAAAATTGAGTTTTTCATTTAAAGAGCTTTTCTTTCTTGTCTAGTAAAAGGAGTTGTTTTTAAACTGTTAGAAGCTTTTCTTTTACCTGTAATTCTTTCCACTAAAGGTTTTGCCCACTTCAAGGATGTACTATAATTATTAATATGTTATTGAAATTCTGCTGCAGAATGAATAAGATCGTTTAGCCTAGTTTTAAAGGTTGCAACCTTCTATTGTATCATTTCTAAATCATTATCAACCATAGATAAAAAAACTTCATTAAAAAGTTTTTGTAATATATCTATCATCTTTTTTGTTATAATGTTGCTTTTGTAACTTTTGATGGAGTGATATCTTCCTGCTCAAAATTCATATCAATATTTAAAATTTGTTTAGTGTAAATTACCTCTATAGTAGTCCTTAGTTGAATTTCTTGTTGATGTTGTATATTTTGATGGATATCTTCCTACTCAATATTCATATATATTAATATATAAAATATGCTGGTTTACCTCTAATGTAATCTCCAATTGAATTTTTGCCTCATGATAAACATTTTGATGGATATTTTCCTGCTCAAATTTTTATAAGTATTTCAAAATTTTAATTAATAAGTGAATTACCTTTGTCATAGCTTCTAAGTCAAGTGCTTCAAAATCTTGATGATGATAAAATAAGTCATCTGACCTAAGTTCTAAAATTGCATACGATTGTGATGGTTGAACCTCATAACTAGTTGTAGTCTAGTCAATTTTCTTTCCTTGTTTTAACATAATAATTTTTATTTAATGCTTGCAAAAGTTTCCTTTAGTTACCCATGGACAATTACACCAAGTTGAAAAAGCCCAATTACTGTGTCCTTTCACCTCCGACAATAAAATATGATATAGCTGGATTTGAAAAGGATTGTACATAAAATTTATAAATATTATCTTTATCAAATTTTACTTGAGAGTTGTTAATATTTCTTGCTTTAACAATTACACCATCAATTAGTTTTTCATATGCATGGTTTCGAATAAAACTATGATCTTTGCAATAACTAGTAAATCAGTACTTCATATGAACCTTAGTACTAAGTTAATGAATTGCCCAATCCATCCTTCAATTGCAAGTATTTTTTCTTTTTTTGGATGAAAGTATAGCTTTCATATTTGCATGGAATGCCTCAATCAAACTATTTGTCTCCTTG